TCCACGCCAGGTGTCCCCTGCCGGACCTCATGTAGGAAGATATGGGACAAAGAATGTGCAGAAGAAAGTTAGATAGAATGCCAGAAGGTATGCCAGATAGAATGCCAGAATGTTTGCCAGATAGAATGCCAGAAGATTTGCCAGATAGAATGCCAGATAGGATGTCAGAAGATATGCCAGAAGATATGCCAGATGGAATGCCAGATAGGATGTCAGAAGATATGTCAGAAGATATGCCATATAGAATGCCAGATAAAGTGCCAGAAGGTATGCCAGATAAAGTTCCAGAATGTTTGCCAAATAGAATGCCAGATAGGATGTCAGAAGATATGCCAGATAGAATGCCAAATAGAATGCCAGAAGATATGCCAGATAGAATGCCAGATCGAATGCCAGAAGATATGGCAGATAGAATGCCAGAAGATATGCCAGATAGAATGTCAGAAGATTTGCCAGTAACAAAACGTATAAATGTCATGGTGGGGATCACACGAAGTAAAGTAATTTCTTAATAGGTCCAGGAGTTTGGAAATAAATAAACCCCAGTATCAGTATAATGCAGTAAATAGCTCCTGGAATTCCACAAATAGTTCCTGGGATTCTGTAAATAGGTTCTGGGATTCTATAAATAGATCCTGGGTAATGGCCCCTAACACAGAAAGAGGCCAAAGCAATAAGTAATATATAGAGGTATATATCACTACGGGGTCATGGTTAATGAGTAAGGTTGGTTCAAATATTCATGTCTGACTAATTATTTGTTATCTTATCGATGTTCCTTTTTCCCCACCTGCCAGGTGAGGGTTGTTAGATTTTATGTCAGTTGCCTGCTCCTCCTCTCCTCTCCTCATCTCCTCTCCTCCTCCTCGTCGTTCTCTTCGTCGTCCTCCTCGTCGTCCTCCTCGTCGTCCTCCTCGTCGTCCTCCTCGTCGTCCTCCTCGTCCAACTGCGACCCGCGATCCACAGTGTTCTCTGTCGGACCTCAACCACGACCATCCACGCCCAGTGTTCCCTGCCGGACCTCAACCACGACCATCCCCGCCAGTGTTCCCTGCCGGACCTCACCACGACCATCCACGCCCAGTGTTCCCTGCCGGACCTCAACCGCGAGTATCCCCGCCCAGTGTTCCCTGCCGGACCTCAACCACGACCATCCACGCCCAGTGTTCCCTGCCGGACCTCAACCGCGAGTATCCACGCCAAGTGTTCCCTGCCGGGCCTCATGTAGGAAGATATGGGACAAAGAATGTGCAGAAGAAAGTTAGATAGAATGCCAGAAGGTATGCCAGATAGAATGCCAGAATGTTTGCCAGATAGAATGCCAGAAGATTTGCCAGATAGAATGCCAGATAGGATGTCAGAAGATATGCCAGAAGACATGCCAGATGGGATGTCAGAAGATATGTCAGAAGATATGCCATATAGAATGCCAGATAGAATGTCAGATAGAATGCCAGAAGATATGCCAGATAAAATGCCAGAAGATATGCCAGATAGAATGCCAGATAAAGTGCCAGAAGGTATGCCAGATAGTGTGCCAGAATGTTTGCCAAATAGAATGCCAGATAGGATGTCAGAAGATATGCCAGATAGAATGCCAAATAGAATGCCAGAAGATATGCCAGATAGAATGCCAGATCGAATGCCAGAAGATATGGCAGATAGAATGCCAGAAGATATGCCAGATAGAATGTCAGAAGATTTGCCAGTAACAAAACGTATAAATGTCATGGTGGGGATCACACGAAGTAAAGTAATTTGGCTACGAACCAACGTACAAGTGGGAGACCTCTGATCGATATCATAATTTCAATCGTTGATGAACGCGCAGCAATTTGAAATTGGGCTCTATAAATGTCTCAAACAATCAAATTCCTCCTGAGACAGACCATGTCTCTCATGAATGCTCAGAGCAGGTCGAATCATATCCTGAGTTGAGAAACACAATGGGTGGAAGCCACACGCGTTGCTTTCATTCATGCTGCAAACACAACAACTCAACAAAACTAACAGCACCACCAAGCCACCAGCGAGACACCACAGAGACACCACCGAAAAAACACCACACATCACCGAGACACCACCAAGGCACCACAGAGACACCGTCGAAATACCACCGAGAGACCACGGAGACACCGGGACACACCCCGCCCAGGCCGGCAGCCGGGAGCCCGACGGCGATAACAACCCCAAGCTATCGCTATTGAGGAATTAAAACAATTGGAAAACATGGAAAACTCATGAAAACTCAATAGTGATACAAATGACTATGCTTGACTATGACTATACGCCACTATAATATACATATATATATATATATGTAGTATATCATTATCATTATCATTATGATTATATAATTTTAGAGAGAGAGAGAGGAAAAAAAAGAGGCGCTTGGGTTTCGCACATGTTCCAGCTTTAAACAAAAAAAGCTCCGCACAGTAATGCCTCCGGCTTGGAGTCAAAATGGCACCGCGGTGTTTTGCCCCTGAAATTCTTCTTATTACTTCGAAAAGCCTCGCAAAACAAGAATAGATTTATGTTTATACTGTATAGTGCATAGTGTATACTGCATATATCCGTATGAACATGTCTATACCTATATAATAGCCTACAGTATATTATATGTGTGTGTGACTATATATATATACCTTGAACTTCAAGTTCGTGAAATTTCTATGTTCTTCATTTTTGAAGGATTTTCCAGGTTCTCTGTGAATTTCCGGGATTTTCCGGGTTCTCTGTGAATTTCCGGGTTTTGTCTCTTTCAGTCAATTTCCATTTTCCAGCTCAAGCGTTCATTCGTCGAGCTCTTCGGCAATAGGCCCGAAGCCTGGAACTTAGATTGCCCTTTCGCTTTCGGATGAGGGCTTTCGTTCTGATCAGGACCCTTTCCAAGACTCTGAGGCTGACTGTCCTAGAGCTTACCCTTCGGGCAATTCTAGAAACATGCCCCACCACTGATTCATTTGCTTCGCAAGAGAATACTAAAGGGTTGAGAATCCTGGGTGCGTTTGACTGCAATTGAGATTTCAAACTTTTGGAAATGTGATGCAAAGCATGCATCTTCGGTTTTAAACCAAAACCAACTACACCTAACCTTCTCGATTCCAGGGCCAAAAATCGATAGGCTCGGATCATAACAAGTAGATGATGCTGGCACCTTTGGCCACAAACCCGGTCCATCCACAAGGGGTGAGAATGGAGCACAGCAAACAAAGCGATTGCACTCTCACAAGCTTCAATCAGGGCACCCTCTAGCGCATCATTCACTGGCCCACGGCTTTCTCGGGAGAGACGAACAACATGGAGAACCCATTGGGTCATTAATGTTGTGTCAGAACCTTTCACATTAGCCCATGCAAAAGACCGCTGGTTAGGCGTATTGAACAGGCTTTTGGAGAAGTAATGGATCGCAGGTGTTTTCTGGTTCGCAAGTGTCCAAAGGCGGAATGAACTCCATGCCCTCTCCAAACGGTCAGGAAAGTTTTCGGAAAAACCTGGAAAATCAAAGTACCCCAAGAGGCACAGAACCACTGTTGCTGACCCAATCAAATCTCGGCCAAGGCCGCACTTCCAGCAATGGAACAAATCTAATCGGAATATACCTTCAGCTTTTCCAGTCTCAAAAGGCAATTTGGCCAATGATGGCACCATGTTCTCTTCCCAAGGAGGTTTTTGAAATTCTGTTGCCAACCACTTTGGATGATCTGAAAGATCTTCAAACTCAATTCCTTCTTTACCAGCCAAGCACAGACTACATATAGGGTGGTTCTTCTTGACACCAACGTTGTAGTACGAGCGCTGTAGGTTTCCCAGTTGGTGATGAAATTTCAAATCCCCTTTGCACCCCAAAACTGCACCAAAGTAGGTAGACCCAGATACCACGATGCCATGCCAGAACAATTCAGAGAGGTCAGAGACAACCTCATCGAAAGCCATTGTAATCAAACCTTTGTTCTTTCGGTACACCTGGGATGCTATGCCAAACAGCAAGAATTTGGACAAAAACTCGTTTCCGCTATCGTTAACTTGTTGTGTTGAAGCTAGTGCCGCAGCTTGATCAATGGCCACTCCATGGGAGCCACAGTTCATAGCCCCATACCTTTGAAGCACTGGGTCTGAGGAGCAATTGCAAGGCTCGGTTTTTTCGGTGAACTTCCCAGAGCACATTCAAAAGTACAAACCATGAAATTGCCCTTTTTCAAGTATCGTCCCTCATCGCCATACAGTAGGAGAGGTAGCGTATACGCAAGTTTTCCGGGGTCCAACTTGTAGACTTCATGGCCTGGTTGAACAAACTTGTAGCATTCCCAAAAGGCAGCCAGCTGTTGATGTAGGTCCTTGCCATCACCTCCTTGAAGGAGAAACGAATAGTTGCTAAGCAAAGTGCTCAACCATGACGTAGGTTTCACTAGTGGCAGCTCGATGACACTACCATCTTCAGCAGTGAAAGAAATCATAGATTTGTCCACTGTCAAGGAATACCCAGCTTTTTCTAACATGGTTTGGACATCTCTTTGTGCGTTCTTGTCACATCCCCCAGTTGTGGAGGAAGGGGTTCTACCAAAATCTCCCTTCACCGCCCTGAGGTTTCGAGCGATGGATGTTGCTGGGGCCTTGGGCAGGTTCGAATGGGGCAGCTAAGACAATTTCATGCCACAATTATTCCTGAGGCCTAGGCCCCACGGCCCATTTCTTCAGCATAGTGTTGCATGAGATGACTTTCATTAGCATCATCATCACTTTCTATCATACCTGGCAAAGTGACCATCGATGTCCGAAAAGATTTTTTTACTGGGAATGAAGATTGCTGGGAAGGAGTGGCTTAGGCAATGTCAAGTAGCAACAGCACTGCAGGTTTGATTTTTTCTCAGCCCCGACTGGTTCCACATCGCATCCTTGGAACATCCCAAGGGAAAAGCCAAACGCACTGTTTATTCTATCATGTGCGTTGAAAAGGCAAATTAAAGATCAACACTCAAGCCAGGTGTACCCCTACCCTAGTCCTCCTCCCTTTTGGTGGAGCGCTTTTTGGTGGCAGGCTTCGGCGCCGTTTTGGCTTTTGCCTTCGCCTTGGACTTGGGGGTTCCTTGGTCTGTTCTGAGCCGTTTCCTGGGCGGCTGCTGCTGCTGGTCGGCCAAAGCTCTGCGGCGTTGCTTCTCATGCTCAGTAATCAGAGACCTGAGCTAATGTAGGCAATTAAATATAATCTATGACGTGTTCGAAAACTTATAGGCATTGAGCTCACTGCCTGGCACGTGGCTCCAACATCAAAGCTTCGCTGCACCTGAGCATCCACTACCTAGACGAAGTTTTTTTCACGGTTCAGAAAGGAAGTAGAAAAGATCTCATTCAATTCAATGCCCTTTTATTCCTGAGACTGGCACACTTTCTTGGCTGACACCATGATGGCCTTCATAGATGTCTCCAACCTTGGCTAAATGATTACAATGTGTGACCAATTATGAAGGATTTGATTTGTTACCTCAAAATGTCAAGAAGCTGTTCAGTAAATCCATCCACCACGCCATCACTGTAGAAGCCATTCAGCTCATCAACATTCTTGGTCAAGGTCGATTTTAAGCCGTCAATCTTCTCCTTCATCCTGGGATAGTGGGATTTGGTTTGTGTCATTATTGGGCTACAGAATGCTATTAAATTGAACAAGCCATCCTGAAATTTCAAAACATGGGAACAAGACCGGAGTTCTGAGCACCCCTCCTTTTCAGAAGGTCACTGGGTTCTCCATGGATTGCATTGATTTTGTCGGACAGCTCATGCAACTTCACAATCCGTTTTTGTATGCCACCTAAAACCTTGGTAGCGTGCTGGGATGCCACCATCGGTTTCTCTACTTCGGGAAAGCCTGACAGTCTCAAAGCTTTGGCAATCTCATTCTCTGCAGGTTGGCTGGGCGAAGCTGACGGCACGGCGCCCAAGATTCCATGGGCTTGGCCTTGCGGGGTGTGGTCTAGACCCGGTCAGGGGCAAAGCTGGAACGGTCTAGAGTCTAGACTCTAGACCCATTAAGGAGCAGAATGACAGCACATACAAGGAATGCATATCGAATAATTAAGATGGCCTGCAACGGACGTCCCATTGAAAACAGATTTGATGTCGAGATCCTGAACCTTGCCCTCTTCTTCCGAAGAACATATCTTCTTGAGTATGTCGCGCTTGATATTCCTAAGCCAAGACACCAGCAGAGAAGAGAGAATTCTAGACTAGTGGCACATCATAAAACAATCCCATGAGCATAGATGTGTAAAACCTAGTTTCTTCAGATTTCCTTTCACGGCCGTCTCCACCCAATACATAGTTCCACCGCCATACTTCGATTCCCTGGCAGGGCTGTGGGGACATGGGCACTATCCCAACTCATGTCAAACAATCTTGAAACTGATTTGATTTGAGCTTTGCCTTGTCATCGTTGGGTCATCTTTGCATGACTCCTTGATGCAGTCGATCTTCTCCCTCAATGCAGCAGCATTGGGGAAGAGCAAGGATGCTAATCTTGATAATCTGAACTGCATAAGTGGGATAGATGTGAACCTACAGTATTATTTTTTGTCATGGCACTGCGAATAGCCATTGTCCACCATGTCCTTCTCTGTTTGAAATTCAAACTCTACGTTCAAAGCTGCTTCATCAATCTCTTCGGTGATCTTCTGGCACACGGTGACGAATTTATCCTCCAGGAATGGAGATTGGAAATGTTGGGATGACATGTTGAAAATAAAACAGGCAAAAAAAAACATACAGTAATTTCATTATTCATTCCATAGGTTTACCCTACAAGGCCTTCTAACCACGTTTATTGTATATGGAACTCCCTTAAAAAAAACAAATCACAGTGTTTTACAACAAACCAGTCCGGTTCGTAGTTGCATTTTTCGAAGAGGACAAACAATCCATCTCTGTCTGCACCAGGTCGATCCCATTTTTTAACGAACTCTTCGGGGACCCTGTAGGAACCATCTTTCAAAGGTGTGAAAACACGTCTCAGCCTTTTGTCAATGGCGCCCTTTGACATGGCCGGAACCGGTGCTGAGGACCCTGGACGATCATCAGCTCTCTCCGCATTGGTAGTGCCTTCACCCAGCATGCCTGGCTGGCTGGGCTCGGAAGCTGGTGGCGTCTGGGAAACCACTGATTGGGGCATCTCTCTCCGAACAAGTTCGTATGCCTCCTTTGACTTAGAGAAAGGATCTGCTTGGGAATGTGCTTGTCTCAGAATTTCCTTAGACGTGGTGAAATGTTAAAAAAATCAACCCTTCCCCACAAGAGTCCAAAGTCTAGTAAAAGAACTCAGGGTAGATGTACAATAATATTATCCCGCTTTTTTGTGGTTGTTACACCTCAAACCGATATATAATAATCTTTATTGAGATGTGGATACTTGACAAGGGAAAACAATGAACAATAAGAACAAAATGGGGATACTTAACATGGGACAAGAATAACCTGGAATCACAAACCATTCCCCACCAAAAAAAAACATAGCCCAGAAACAGGGGTACTGTTGGAGTCTTCAGGCGGCACTGATTTCGGGGATTGTTCATCAACTTCAACATCAGAATCAGGTGGGGTGTCAGGTAGAGTGCAACTTTCAGTGGCCCCACCATCACCACCTACCCGATGTCCACTCACCGGGACCAGCAAAGGCTTTGGAGCAGAACCTTTGCTGCTGCCAGTCGATGTAGGCGCCGTGGGACCTTGGGCGGCGGGAAAGCAGGTTATTTTTTAGGGTTCAATCCAACCAGAAGCTTGATAAAATCAGCCTTGAATTTTAAGATTTGAAACCGATGGTTTGGTGGGTCCAAGATGGTCCAAGCACATTATCCCGCTGGATTCCGCTGGATTGTTTTTTGTTAGGACATCGATTGCTCAAAGAATGTTGAGGCTACAGATGGCTACAGGGTTTTCCAAGATCCCAGGGTATAAATACCAATTTTTCAATATAGCACATAAATCTTTTGGATGGTAATCACCTGGGAAAAGAAATTTGATCAAGTTGCTCTTCAAACCCTCATCATCAGATTCAAGATCGATCAGAAATGATGCACCAACTGCTTCGGCGAGAAAAGCAAAGCCCTTGCCAGCGCCAGGGCCCCCAATACCCTTGCCTCGGTCAGCTTCCTCCTCTGCCTGGCAGGCAGCAACCATATTATCTTTATGGGATCCTAATGGTTCTTCTTGTCTATTCAAGGGAAATTGGCCCAACAAGTTATGCACTACACTGTGGATTCCTGATTTGAATTTTGTAGTATACAATATCTTTGTGTACTATCGACATAGCCTTTTTAGCACCCCACTATCTTACCAGAATAGGTATTGTTTCAAAAAAAGAAAATCAACCGTTTGGACTTTGGGCACAGTTTCATAATGTTTCATGTGAAACGTGCATGCTCGATATAATCTGCACCCCAATATGTTGGAAGCAATCCCAATTTCCGATTGCTTTTGAAAGGGGTTGTCCACATTCAAAAGGTTCTAGAATAAATGGATTGCAATTTGAATTTGGGGTTTAATTTTCCCCCACCCCCAAGAACTGACCTTCAATTGGGCAAGTTCCCTCTCCATCGCCGCGACATCATCATCGCCAAAGGCACTCAAGGACATTGGCAAGTCACTTGCGAGTTGAAGGCCAGCTTGGAGGGTTGAACAGGACCAAGCCCTACTTTGAAGTCTCTCAGACATCTTTTGGGCACAAAGACTATGGGAAAGGATAGCCTCGTGATTTTTGTTTCCAGTCTTGAGATCAAATTGATTTTGACCAACAATAAAAAAACATGCAAACAGGAGTCCGCCAATTTCCGGGTTTTTCCCGCCAATTTCCGGGTTTTTCCCGGGGATTTCCGGGTTCTTTTTTCCGCCCGTTTTGAACGTTGTTACACAACGGCAAGCTAATTGGTTCAAATCTGCAAATTTTGCAATGATTTGGAGTAAGCTACATGTTTTCCCTATTAGTTCCCCAAATTCTATGCTTAGAGTTTGGAAACCTTTCTGCAGACTTGAGGCATCAGGATATGAGGACAAATTGGATTTAAATATAGTCGGGAATGAGTGGCCTCCATTCCGGGGGAATGGAAAGCCCTTTGGAACCACGAAGGTACCTAATCACATCTCTGAACCGCGCATCATCGCACCAATCCTCGTACTGCATCTCGGCGAACATCAGGGTGAGGGGCCGGTTATCTTCAACCTTGGTCTTTTGGTGATCAAACAAATCAGCTACTTCAGATTCACCATACAATTTTTATTTGAAATAATTCCCCAATTCCACGAATAATATACAGCCAAAGAACCTCTGGAAACTTCTGCTTTTGTTCATGCAGCTTTGGGACAAGTCTCACCACAAATGATGCAAATTTTGGAGTATATATCCTCAGATTTGACACCATGCAGCCCTGCCAAACCCTTTGGTTTACAGCACCTGAGAAATCGAATCATTAGATAAACTGCTATTATCAATAAAAGTGTTTTGAAAGGTTTGCACCAAATTTCGAACAAAATATATGATAATGCTTTCACGGCTCTGGGTTCGCTTCAAATCTTTTGTGCCATGGTATGCAACTTCTCCCCAACGGTTTATGTAACGCCTTGTTGTTGATTTGGAAGCTGGGCTCTTGTCTTTCTTTCCCTTGAAGTGGGCAAACTGCATGAAGGCAATGATGGCCGGACTAGTGCTCCACAAAATTGTTCTTTTCATTGAAAAATGGTCGAAACCACGCATCCAAAAGCTTTGACGATACATCTTAGTTGGTCCAAGAAATCATTGAAAACAAAATTGATAGATTTTTCACAGGAACGTTTCCCACAATATTTTGGGATCAACAGTTTGCAAACACCAACCAAGCCACCTTCAAACCAGCCCTTTCAAGTAGGGTGAGAAGCCATTGAAACCTATCATGTAGCCAAATCAAAGATGAGCCTGGGTTTTCCACTACGGGCACTCCTTCCATGCAAATCACAAAGAGGATCAGAAAGCAGCTCCTGGCAGCGGGCAGCGGGGTGCAGCTGGAGTAAAAGGTAAAATGGGGGTGGGGCAAACTCCCAACATCAGGCTCTCTAGTCTAAGATTAACATCCAAGCAGTTCCGACCATTTCCCCATCACAGTTCCTTGATGTAAGCAAGTTGGCTAATACCACGGAAGGAACATCGCAGCCCATAGGCGTTGCATAGTCCCGTTTTGAAGTACCAGAATTTAAATGGATCCAACTGGAGCAGCAAATACCCCAGAACGTCAGCAATTCTGAGAACTTTCCTTGCATCAATAGGTGTAAGGCCAACCTGGTCAAGGGTCACCCCCCAAAAGCAATAATAACATGATAACGTTATACATTGATTAACGCAATATAAGGTGGTAGTTTTGGGGAAGTAAAAAATGCGCTAACTGGGCTCAATCTAGAGCAACGCAAAGCCAGACGGTTGGCTTAGGTCCATGACCCGTTTGCCCTTAGGCACCTTTTTCCCACAACCTGGCCCTGGACCTGTGGCTGCGTTGGAAGGCCCGGGTTGGTACAAGACATCATAAGCTGTAGACTGATACCCACATGCTGAGCTTAAGCGAGCAATCCGGCCAACACCGGCATAATATTCAATCACCTCATACTGGGCACCCTCGGAATAAGGCGAAAAGGTCTGCCAACTTGCCAAAAGAATGACAAGGATAAATGCCTTGGCTGTCCAGGAATACAGTTTTGGATCCTTTACAGTTTCTATGAATGCAAGTCATGTGTTATGAAGCTCACAACATACAAATTGGTTGAGCTAAGGGTCTTTTGGAGCACCCAGAAATATCAGTCTTTTCAAGACACGTTCAAGAGCTTGTGGGCCCATTGCGTTCACCTCCCTTTTAGGCCAGCCGATCCCAACCCTTGATCAAAAAAGGCTTCATGAGCGATGTGATAATCTTCGTGAGCTGCCAAGAAATCCCAAGAAAGATAAATACAACACAAGCCAGAAGTACTTTCCAGCTCGCCATACTTTGCAAAGACCATGCTGCAGGCTCGACGGCGTGGCATTGGCACCTAGCGAGGGGGCCAAGTAGCTTGGGTGGACAAGTGATGGTGGCTTAGATTGGGTTCCGCAAGACACATTTTTTCAGATTTGCGCTCAGATGTTTGATCTGCAGACAACGCCCAGCAGCCAGGGATGAAAAGCTGACAGCACCCCTGGGTAAAGAACAGCTAGAGTACCTTTACTTGGCACCCCAACGCAAGTTGGGGATGTCACCTTGTTCAAAGGGGCTTGAACTTCTGTTGGGTTTTTGTTGCAATGCAGTAGTCTGGATTTTTCCATCCCATCCACTAGGAAGGCCAGCGAGCTAACAAACAACTTTCGAAGCATGGTATCCCTTTTCAGGCACCATTTGGTGCAATCTTCCCTGACTAGCCTTCCAGGGACGCAAGGTAATCATGGGCTACAAGCTCAGCATCCCGGTCCCAATCTTTCTGAGTAAAGTTCATGTAGTCCTTCTTGTCCAACAAGTTGAACTTCTCGGAGGCAAAGTCCCAAAAGTCCGCCTGGAAAGCCCCATGGTCATGGCAGAACCAGAAGGGTAAACATGTTTCTTGCGACAAAACCCTAAGAACTTGATAGGTTCTTTGGACCAAAAAAGATTTGTTTTCAATGTTTTCAAATTTCTAAACCTTGCCTCATGCTTGGAAAGGCCCTTGACCCGAATGGAAATGATGGACTGGAAAACGGAACGCAATGCTTCCCATTTGAAGCCACCCCAAGATGTGCTTGGCTTGTAACGACGGGCAAAGGTCTTGGGAATTTCACCTGAGCCCCGTTTCCTGCGGTTGGATTCCTTGGGGGGGGTCACATGGTCCCCCGGCTCCAAGGCAGCAGCAGACTTGCGCTTCTGGAGACCTGTCGGCGAAGGCCCTTTGGGCACGTGCTTTCGGACAGGGGTTTTCATCTCAGCTTCAGCATCAGCCGGTGGTGGTTCAGGCTTGGTCTTAGGCTTAGCCTTAGCCTTCGCCGACTTTGCTGTCGGAGTAGGCTTTGGCTTTGTCCTTCTTTGTGTCCTTCTTTGTGTCCTTCTTTGTGTCCTTCTTTGTGTCCTTCTCCTTGGGAGACTTTTTGGCTTTCGACTTAGGCTTGGTCTTGGCCTTGCCTTCCCCCTTGGGCTTGTTTTGATGGGCATTCTCCTTATCATCCTCCTCCTTTTCCTTCCGGCGAGCCTCGTCGTCAAGCTCCCTCTTCCACTTCTGCTGGTCCATGCGAGTGATGTTCACCTGCAAGCAAGAAAGCATTGAGTGGAGAGAAGGTTAATGGAGGAAGGTTTTCATTGGAGAAAAACAGATGTAACTTAGATTTAAACCCCAAAGATTGGCCAATGATGGCTTGTCTCGATTCAACCGCACCGTAATCACAACTAACTGCCTCCTGGTCAAAGACTGATTTGGAGGCACCAGGGTCTAAAGCTTGTTCACCACTAGCAGCAGCAACATCATCAGACGGCACCGGGTCAGGCTGGGTGGGCGGAACAGAATCCTCGTCAACAGGTCCCTCCATGTTCTCAGGGCAATCATCACTAATTTCATCCTCAATTCCAATCACATCACATGCCAATGTGTTGGACATAACCTTGGCAATGGGGGACAAGTCCATCTCGAGGGTATCCACCTTGTTGGGATCAACACTCTGCGGACATAGCGGGGCTTTGGACTCCTTCTTGGACTCCTTCTTGGACTTGGCTGCGGCCAACATCTGCCTAGGCTCAATACGGACACATGGAAACACGATGTGGTATTTGGGGGTATGTGTGCAAAAACTTTTTTTTGTTTTTTTCAGGGTACTGCAAGGCTTCAATTCGCCTCTGGCGGTCAGATTTCTCAACCGGGGCTGGCTCACATGAAACTTCTGGCTGGGCAACTGCAGCCATAGGATTGGGGGCATCTTGGAGTGACCCCTTGGGCTTTGACGGTGACATGCGTGCAACCAACTCATCAGGGACACCCAAAGCCTTTGCCAACTCTGTGTCCTCTAACATGTCCTCCTCAGCTTGCCGCTCAACTGCTTCCCCACCTCCCTCTGCCTCCGGCTGCACACCCTCATAGCTCTCTGTGGCCTGCTTGGCCAGCTGTGAGTTGCTCAAAGGCTAGTAGCCACGGATGTGAGCGAAGAGCTCATCCAACAGAGTATCCTTTGGGATGACTGTCTGGGGGTAAACATGAGAAAGCTGACAGAAATAGAAAAATTATGCTGTAGAAGAGGGAAAGGTCAAACAAAAATTAAGCATGTTCAATGAGCAAGTGTCTCGCTTTTTTCATTCCTATGCAATGTTTGGTTGATGAAGGTCATGAACCCTTTCAACGCCGTCCCATCGCAATGAATCTTAGCCACATCGTTCGACATGTTCAAAGAATCTCGGAGGAGTTTCACCTAACAGGGTGTTTGATGGGATATTGCACCGATATAGATTTTGCAACTAACAGACATTAGTGGTGATTTTAAACTTCATAGGCCTGGTCTTTTACCATGTCAATGGGTACCATAGCAGGCCCTTCCCACTGAGGACACCAAACATCAGCCAGCAACTTGATGACTTGTGTATTCAGCCGTAAAGAATCACCACTGATAAGCCCAACGGTCTTGCTGCTTGGCCAGGCGAGCAGGCGACCAGAGTGAAGCAGGCGCTCCCGGGCAAGTGGGCTATTGGCAAGTATTTTATCCAGCCCGTCAAGCGACATGTTCAGTCACCACTCTTTCTCAGGACAGGATCCTTGAGCCGTCTACATGTATGTTATGGATTTTTCAGGCAAACTTTGAGCAACAGTGTCCCAGTTGTCAACCCCTCCACTCACCCTTGAAGGCACAAGCTGAACTGAGCAAAGCGGGTGGCACCTGATACCTTTCCGGGCCGCTATAGGGCTGAGGTAGGCACACCTGCGTGGGCGGCAAGCAATGTGACAACTGGCCAAAAGGATAAAGTCTAAAGGTGTGAAAAGACTTGATAGGAAAAGGGCATAACATGCAGAAAGGATTTTTTCCACTGACCCGATCTAGTGCACCATTCTCATTTTTGAGATCATTTCAGATCAGACCCAGAAGTTTCATTCTGGGGCTCAGAGGGTGTGGCTTCGGAATCTTTCAAGGAACCTTAGATTGGGGTGCGCATGCGCTCAAAAAACAAATCCATGACATTGTGTTAAATTGACTTGTGCTGACCTGTTTTAAATCAAGAAGCCTGTGCACTGACGAAAATAAGTTGCCAGTTCAAAAACTGATCCATGCTGTCTGTAGTTAGACACTGCATCGTTCAGCATCTGGTCGGTCATGGTTTCCTGGAGGGGTTAGGCTACTACCAGATCCAAAGGGTTTCCAATTGGACAGAACAGCCCGTGTGAGTTTCAAATTGGCACTGTCCCACCTGAGAATCCTTCGGTTTGAAAAGTAAGCTGGCCACTTCATTCCAGAACTTATCCGGGAACCCCGTCAATCCTAGCAGGGGCAAAGGCCATGAGATACAAAGCGAACCCAGTACAGGATTTGAACATGCTTTGGTTCCATTCAAGTTTTCTTCCCTTTGTTGTCCTTCATCAGCTAAGACTTTGAGAGCTTCAGGGCTACATTGCGTGAAAGGCATTTTGCCTATTCAAAATTGAGCCAATGCGTGCTGCCTTAGAAATTAGATTCAGGAATGAAGGAGCTTGCATCAGGCACACATGCGGCCACTACATGGACAATTAAATTGAGATTGGAGCTGGTCAAAGCATTCTACTTAATCATAAAGATGGGTAATTGTCCATGTACCGTTGAGCAGGCACAGAAGGGTGCGCACCTGGAGAAAAGCGGGAAGTGAGAACCATACCAGGTAAGCCAAATGGCTTCAGAAACCCCAAAATTGGAAGAATACCCACTCAACATTACTAAACCCTGCTAAATCAAATTTCCGGGTTTTTGAAGAATTTCCGGGTTAAACCCAGAAATTCCCAAAATCCAAGAAATTTGTTCCCTTCTCGAGGCTCCAGGTATATATATATGTATACACACACATGTGTGTGCGTGTAAACCGAACCGAGCTAAATGGGCCTCTGAACAAATCCAATACTCAAGGTCTCTGACGGAGTCACAGCAGATTGAAGATGCATCGGCACTTGGGATACCCCCCAACAAGACGACAGGGAGAAGTCGTCTTGACACAAGTTCCTGCAACTGATCCAATAGGAACCTTCAAGCACTCAATACTAAGATGGGCCGCTAAATCTACCATTCCCGCAATAATTCCCAAATATACAAATGGCCAGGATCCTAGCACATCAGATTACCACCTTGAAATGATTGGAAGATCCTACTTGATCCCTGCTTCTTTTTCCACCAAAGTTCGATCTCATTCACTCTGGACACCCACACCAAGGAGATCCTGCAGCCCAGTGACTGAGTTGAAGCTTCGCACTGGCAGGTCCAGCTTGTAACCCAGTGATTTTCCACCTGGCGGAGGGCTCGCCGAAATTTGATGATCACAAAATGAAAGAATTACCTACAAAATCTCTCTCTGGAGCAAGATGAAATACGTCGATACTACTTCGAAATAGGATGGCTGAGAGAATTTGATGCTACAAAGCTGCACCAATCTCAAGTTGTGGAGATAAACGAATTGAGAGATCGTTAGGTATCCCATGGTATGAGGAGGACAAACAAATCTGTCGCAAAGCTGCATCGCACCTGCAGGCTCACGAATTCCCATCCCTCATCGCGCCATCGCACTCGCAAAAGCGGAGGGGAAGACGCATGACACCCCGGCATGCTGGAACATTCGTCAAAAAAAAGTGCACACACTACGAGACAGAGATATATATAGACACATTTGTATATATACCTAAAATGATAGTGTATTAAATATACATCTATAATCTATGTGTTCATACATATATATATATATATATATATTTATGTGTATACATATGTATACATATATATATGTGTGTGTGTGTGCGCGTGTATATACATATATATATATGTATGTATCTATTTATTTACTTATTTATGTATTTATTTATGTATTTGTTTATGTATTTATTTATGAATGTATTTATATTTATTAATGATTTTATGTATTTACATTTATTTATTTATTCAATTTATTTGTGCATGTGTAATTATATATATGTAGATAATATGTGCACGTGTGTATGTGTGCAAACATATGCATGCATACATATGAATATGTATATAAACTATAAACATATTTCTATGATGTTCCATGTAAACGTGCAGGATATACCTGACTAACAACAAGGGAAATCGGGTCCAAGAAAAAATGGAGCTCAAAATCGCAAGGGCTTGAGCACTGCCGCCCACCAATGTATAGGCAGAACGATCTCTTCAATTGAAAGCAATACCCTTCGGAAAGTTTGGACATGGGGAATTCAGTTGTTGCAGAATTGAGCGCGTACCACTACACCAGAGATCCATGTTTCAGATTGTCTCTCTCTCTCTCTCTCTCTCCCCTCCCTCTCTCCATTGCCGTCCTAGCTGTGCAACAGGTACGGGAAACAGGTACGACTTTTATATTTCAACACATCAAAAATAACTCCCCATAGATCCCATGAAAAATCCATTCAACCTTATTAATTCATATGAATTCAGCAAGGGGATCGTCCTAATGAAATACCTTTTGTGGCAATGGTTTGGTCCTCATCAGGTTCAGGTTCTTGGAGATGCCACCCTCATCAGGTTGCACCCATTGATCATTAAAAACCATAGAAAAACAAAGTAGAACATTCGATAGCCATTAAGAACTAGAGTTTTTTGCCGTCAATAACCATCAATAACTTTAAACTTAATTGGTTGATAACTACGAACCACGAACCATTCTGAACCATCAAAATCACGCTCGAGCGTCTTGCCGTTTTTTTTTTGCTCAGCAATCCCTGGCGTGCGCACGGATTGCGAACTTTCAAGCAAGCGATGCAGATCAACCCACTCAGCCGACCTCATGGCTCCGGCTCTACCCTCTGGCTGATGGGACCCCCAACCCACTCTTTCCATATGGATTCCATAGGTGTTTCGAACATGGGAGTAGCATGGGAGTCCGGGAGTCCCATTTTGGGTCCGTAGAAATTCCACTCATGTTCGGGGTTTTCTGGAGAATGTCACCCCTGAACTAATGTTATCTTTGATCAACAAGTGTCTGTGAAAACAAATGCTCCAGAGAGTATATTAAATCATAATCTACCTAAACGGGTAAACGGACCTAAACGGGAAATATTCTCATAACAACCTGCTCTCCGTGGGTTAAATCATTGAATGGGGAGTATGTTCATAACTGAAATCAATAGGAACCACATCAGGTGCACAGTGTGCACTTTCTTGGCCTCCCAACCGTTGCAGGCGCCCTCAGAAATTTCAAGAAGCGGACCACTGGGGACCTTGTGCCTGCTTTCCTACCCATGACTCACAATCCAATCCTGTAGATCATGTCCGGAAAAACCCATGGTTTTTCCGTCCCTTGGGCACCGGCCGGAGCAGATCGCTTGCCAACGCTCCACTAGCAATGGGCCAAAGAGCAACATCAAATTCCCATTCCCTGGGCGTGGAAATGGGTCCAAAACATGGGAAGACGGCAGCGGTGGACCTAGACATACCTAGACCATCTTCTGTCCTTTTGTTATTTTTTGGGCATGGTTACCACTATTTCACATACCCTCTGGTTATTTAACATAGCCATGGAAAATCACAATTTTTAATAGGTAAACCATCTATAAATGGGCCATTTTCAATGGCTATGTTAGAGGGTACCCATTACAGTAATGATCATCTTAGTAATGACCATTCTGACCACCTTGTGGCCATGGATATTAAAAAAACCTCATGACAGTGGACTGCTGGCCAGGCCATGAAAAACGGCCTGGCAGCTTCCCCAGGACTGGTTTTATACGCAGCGGGATCCCCAATTTCACAACAGCATGGCGAAGTATGGATCTGGTTTTGAATTTAAAATTCTAGAGAATGTCAAGGAAAATCGCCAAATTGACCCGAAGTGCATAAGAAGAAGCAGATTTTACAGTGAACTGCTCCAGTTTTGCTGATGATCCAACCCCTGCCCCTAGTTGGAAACCCAAGAGGCTCATCTCCGAAACGTCCTGGCGCAGTAATCGTTCCAGATGGGCATAGCAACCCCCAAAACCATATAAATCAATGATTGTTATATCTTTTTTATGGGTGTTGATATATATATATATATATATATATCCCTATAAATAATGGCATGGCATGGCATGGCTCTCTCCCAACACATGTAATCCAGCTTTGGACCATGGCATCGTGGATTTCCCCTCAGCATGTTAGGCACCAGGCTATCAGTTCCATCAGTTCCACTGAAGAAACAATCCAAAATCGATAAAAAAAAACACATTAAACCCCCGTTGCAAATAATATATGCTTTTAGCCCTTGCCAAGCTATGGTACTTAAAAAAGGGGTGTTAGTATGAATGGGGGACTGCATTAGTTTTAAAACCATGCCATACCATGCCCAGCCTTCTTTGAGACATTTACGTTGCCCCATACCTGTACCAGTGGCTGCAACCCATCCAGAGAATAGAACCGACTGGCAGTAATCATCACAAATAGGAATGGAAAGTTGCTGATTATCTTGAACAACAGGCCTGTGCCATTTAGATACATGGTAGTTGGTATGCCAAAGGGCAGCGCTCGGAAGGTGATCGTCGGAGCGAATTTCTCCTTCTACTCCCATCCCGCTAAGATATGGCAAACACCCCCTTTCTATGCTCCCAATTTTCAGTGCAAATTCCTGACTAAACCGTGGTTTCTAGGGTGTTTTAAATATGAATGGAAGGGATTTATGCTTAAATCAGCAGTTCTATATACATATATGTACATATATATATATATATATACATATCCCTCTCATTGATATCTCATCTCATTATACCCCTCTCATATCACCATGTTTCATGGTTATTCATTGCCAATGATGTGGAAAAATCCATGAAAATTCACTATTTGTTGATGGTTTTCCTAAGGAAAGCATGGCTTTTACGGACCTCCACCTCCAGCTCATCTGCAGCGTCCCGGGCCCCCAGCAAGGCGCCCATGAAGGCCTCCACTCCTCGTCGGTCGTCACCAACATATTTGAGGAATCCCAAAGATATGGTTTACCCTCTGGTAAACTAACATAGCTATTGAAAATGACCATAGAAATAGTGGATTTACCCATTAAAAATGGTGATTTTCCATGGCTATGTTAAATAACCAGATGGTACACCCTCTGTCCCAAATATTTAAGTGAACTCCCGACCTTCTAAACCATGGTTTCTGGTGTTGAATATGAATGGAGGAAGGGATGGTTGTAGTGTTTTGTGGAAGATGGCAAACTTTTTTTTCAGCATATCAATGGATTGGCTGCAGACTTGAGACCAGAAACCCAAAATATCAAATATCGCACTTTCCTGTAGGCTTTCCTTTGATGCTATTTCAACTTATATACTTGCATATTCCCTCCAAAGAATGTATCATGGTTGAGCTCAGGTGCGGCAAAAAAACTGCAGTAGCTGGTCAGATGAACATATCTCTCTCTCCATAGTTATTCATTTATCTAGTTGGTTTTTTTTAGTGTATATATATATATACACAATTATAGATATAGCTATTCATTTATTTGTTTTTGTGGGTGTGTACATATACAATTATATATATATATATATTATTGTTATTGCTATTTACTGCTATTGTTACACATATCCGTATTATGGTTATTCTACGTAGTATATATACATGTGCGTGTTAAATACGTATATCGTATATTATATGTGTGTAAAATACGAAGAAGAAGAAGAAGAAGAAGAAAAGTTGTAGAAGAATATACTCCCGTTGATGGCAAAGCAAACCAGCTCGCATTAAACAGGCCAACCTACGTTTACCCACTCATATGGCACCGTTCCTCCTTTTGAATCCGTTTGGGGTATCGATGTTGCATAATACAAACACATCAGATAATACAAGTAGTATGTATAGATATGTGTAAAAGGAATTACACGTGATACGTGTGATTACGTGTGTATATATATATATGTTGGATGGGTGCTTGAGGGACCGGCTTCTATGATGCACCTATCACTAGGTCCAAAGGGGCCCAAGGCCCACCGTTCACTTTTTCCGAAGGATTCATCGAGGGCCAAAGATAACCACCCTTTTTTTTCAAGAACCAAAGATAACCCATAGGTACCTGATCAAGAATCATAGCAGATTGGCTCAAGGGAAAATCTTAACCGAAAACCATGGGCGTTTTTTTCCATAAAATTGATCGGGGGTTCCTGTAAATTTTCCCATCATCCAGTTCTAGGAAAGAATCATAGCAGATTGGCCCCTCTACCCTCTGGTAAACTAACGTAGCTATGGAAAATCACCATGTTTAATGGGTAAATCAACTATAAATGGCCATTTACAGTAGCTACGTTAAATTACCAGAGGGTATATTTCCCAACAAATTGGACCTTGGCCCCTCCTCTCACCGTTACCACCGGCTCGGCGCCTTGAGTGGTGGATCCCAGATTCACCACCATGCGGCCTCCTATCCGGCGATCTTCGGCGCAACCGCAAAGGGTTTGAACCATGGTTTGATAGAGCTAATGTCCATCATATCCAGGTAAATCATTAAATCATTTTGCTAATTCACCAAGCTGTTAAATAAGGCTGAAATTTTGATCTTTATTGATCTTTATTGGGATAATTTCATATAATTTCCCCTTCTAACCATGATTTACCCAGTGAAACACACCTCGATGCGGTGTCCTGGAGCCAGTCGGGACAACAGACCTCTGTCGCGGTCGCCAGCGGTCGCCAAAGCACCACGAAACGTTGCGACTCGTGGTGAATTCGTATCTCAATGGATTGGTTTAAGGGAAAATCTACAGGAAACCATGGTTTTTACCATCAAATATAGGGGTTTCCTGTAAATTTTCCCATCATCCAATTCTATGAGTATCATGTCGTATCTATCTAATGAAAAATCATATGGAAATGACTGGAAATGGAAATGCCGAAATGCAATTCTGTGGGTCTATTGAATCTATTGGTTTCTTGAACGAAACAAGTGGATGTAATGATATGAATCAAATTGAATCAGTATCTGTTTGATCTTTCTTATGGAAAGATTCTGCTGCTTCTTCTGTTTTTTTTGGGTTTAGTGTTGGCTCTCCATCACGCCAAATCAACGCAAATCTCATGGCAATCAAAGCAAAACACTATCAATCTCCACCCCGGAATGCTTGGTGATTTTTGGGAAGTCCCCAAAACATTGCCTATATGGGTGTGTCTGAACATGGAATGTACCCATAAAATGGCAATTTTGTTTAGGGAGAAGCATGGTTAAGCAATGGATTTAGGGGCACCCCATTTTCAGGGAACACCCCCCTCCAAAAAAAAAACTATTGGTTAATCATAATTTTCAGATATTTTCAGACACGCCCGTGTGCAAATTGATGCTCCCACCCTGAGCTCTCAACTCAACCAAACCTCCTTTTTCTCCAGTTCCTGCAGGTGAATTCAGATCTCCCGGAGACTGACTTCCAACGTTTGAGCGTCTCATGGATATTTTTTTACAGCGACCTCATGTAGCCATGATGCCATCCAAGAAGCAGATTTATCATGATTGATCTGGTCTGTTCAAGGCATTCCTCTACAAATTTTACTAGCAACCATCCATTCACCAATCTGGTTACCCATCGATTTTGCCAGATACCCCTGGGCAGATTTTTATGGGCTAATATGACGCACAGAAGTCGGACTCGATCGTCGTTTTTCCGTTCCAAGTTCTGGATACCTCCCGGTAACCAAACATGGCTTTGCTGCAACACTATTTATATACTTCAATGATTTTCCGAGCTGAAAATATCCATTTAGTTTGGGGATGTTCCAGCCACATTTGATAACACATAACACATGATAACACCCTACTGGTTCGTTGGTTTATGACCTCCATAGATTCCATAGATATCAGTAACAAACCATCAAAATTCCCTGGCGAAACCCACGATTTCCCATGTGTTCCATGACTTTTTGCACAGTTTTCCCATGATTTTTCCATGGTTCCCCCGGTCCCCCCCGGCCCCCCACGGTTAACGTATCTGGCGCCTCTGGCAGGCGGCCGTCGCCCCAATCTCCACCATCCACATGCACATCCAACACCAGCACAGCCAAGGATTCACCTGGCCAGGATGCCTCTGGAAATGGCCCAGTCGAAATCGTTGATTTACCCATAGAAAAATGGCGATTTTCCAGTTCGCAAACTCTTAGTGTACCAGAGGGTACCCGTTTTTTGGAGGTACGTTAAAAGTCCGAAAGTTCATAACGAAAGTTTGAACGTTCCAATCTTAGTATGTTTAAATGTATGAATTCTCGATTTTTTTGGTATCCAAATGTTGCCTGGGGGCCAAATAACTTTGAATTGAAAGAGCAAACAACTGATCTGCTGATGTGGACTGCTGTATGTATGGTGATACATATCCGCCAAGAAAATGACATGATATGTTCATCAGTTTGCCATTGCGAAAATGAATAGAACAGTTTTTCAAAACATTGTCAGCTAAATGTCGTCTATGTTCATCCCCACATATATAAGTATGTGTATATATATATACATGTATACACTGTGTATATATAAGCTATAACGCCCTGGAGGCCCAATGGTACAAAGTTTTGGGCCCTGATCTCTTGACCCCTAGACCGAAAAACTGTACTGGCTCACGGACATGGTTCCTTTCTGTGCCAAAAATCATGGTCGTTGTACCCATCTCCTTGTCTAGCTGACAATACTGTCCATTCTCCCATACGAGGAGTAAGAACGGGAAAAACTAGCAACTGAGAAGAAAAGTCGGAGGGGCTATATGCGCGCGGGCAAAAATAGGCGCGCATAGAATTGTATATAACATATATATCAGTAGCTGACCTACTAAGTAACGAACGAGCGAACGAAAGAACTATCTAACCAAGTAGCTATCTAGCCAACGACCTAACTAACGAACTACTTACCTAACCGACCGACCGACCGACCCACCAACCAACCAACCAACTAACCTAACTAACTAACTAACTAACGTAATTAACCTACCCAACCCAATCAAAACCCAACTAACTAACCAGTTCACTAGCATACAATGAAAAGAAGGGAATATGCCCCACCTGAGACAGCCCGTTTACAAGTAAGAAATAGATACAAATAGCCCTACCTGACCCACGTGCCCTTCACAGTTGTTTGCAATCGTGCAGTGTATGACTTTTGATGGCTGGATAGGATTGGTTAATTGGTAGACCTCTTGGCAGCTACATTGTTGCTATACCGGACAAAAGCAGTCATTATAGTTCGATAACTAGCCATTAATCACAGTAGGGTTATACCATCGGGTTATTTAACATAGCCATGGAAAATCACCATTTTTAATAGGTAAACAATCTATTTCTATGGGCCATTTTCCATGGCTATGTAACAAATAACCAGAGGGTACATAAAAATATCAGCCTTCTCATGTACAAGCCAGGAACAAGCTGCTCGCTGAATACACCAATCAGTGGTGGTTTCGGACCCTCAAAAAGACAGTCGTCATTAGGGATCATCATCCCATCTTGGAATGGTTGAAATAGAGGGAAAACATTGGAAAACTCCAACCAGATCATCATTGGTTAGATCTTGTCCCTATTCCTGAATTAAGGTATACCGGTATACGGCTCAAACACACGAATGGTAACCAGTCAACCATAGATTAACCCCAATATGTCTCCATTATTAAGTAATTTTTTTGTTGGTCAAATCATGGTAAGTGTAAATGGTCCTGATATGTTCTGATCAGCTCCGAATGATGGAACCTCCATTTCCCCCGTCGGCCTTTTGGAACCTCAACTCCCGTGTCCAAGAGGTCCTCTGTACGAACCTCCAGGGGAGGACCTTTGACAACCCAAGAGAATCTCATGGAATTTTGTGATCTGCATGTCAGGCAAAGCCAGTTCACCTTCATTTAGGCAGTTTTAAATCTGAGAGAGGGATCATAATATTTCATAATCGATTAATTTGATTGAGAGAACTGGTTAACAACTGCTATCCTTATTGATACTGGCTATTGTTTCGGATCGCACGAGTGCTGGAGGCTTTTGCCAGCATCTCCCATGTTTTTTCCTCCTCTACCAGTGGATACAGCCGCGAGCCGCACATCTTCGGCCAGCGAAAAAACCTTGCAGAGCGAAGAATGCTGCTGGCAGCGTTCTCTGCTGAAAAGACAAGGCAGCGACAAACAGTCCTGAAGCTTGACATCGAATCACCAGAATATATATATATATATATACATTTTTATATATATATATACATTTATATATATATATACACATGAAAATATGTTTATATACATATGTATATACTTATCCACACATATATATATATATATGAGCGATTGTGAAAACCCTAGGTTCACGGAAAGGACATCCACAAATTTGGGAAGGTCCCATCGCTTACCACACGTTTGTACAATAATGATATATGGTAAACTTGGGGGGTATCGCTTGCAGGAAACTGCTGCATTTATATATATATATATATATATGTGATGAACTATGAATAATATGTGATATTTGGGTATCGCTAATGTGGATATTAGAGAAATATGATGACATAACCTTGAAAAGGGGTATCGCTAATTTGGGAAGGTCCCATCGCTTACCTCGTGTTTTTAACAATTTCCATCAATTTCCATAAACCAATGTCCGTCGAATACATATTTAGTATTGCCGGGGTTTTTACGGTTGCTCATATAGAATGATAGCTGGTTAAGATTCACACGTATAATTAATTGTGTAATCGTGCTTGCTGGTTAAGAAATTTGTCCCTTTTTTCAACCCATATCAAAAATGAGCGATCGTCACCCTAGGGATCCAACTTTTCTGTCAAGTTTCAGATTTTCAGAACCCAGTCTTCAAAATGCAATGGCTGTGACATGGTCACCCTGGTCGTCCCAAAAATCATCAGGAAAGATTTGACGCAGGATGTTCCGTGAATATCTTGAATCACTGAATCACTGAATGGGGCGTCCTTCATGGACCCATAGTCAGCAGCAATTGCGAAAGCATCGCCCGTCTCCATGTCCCAGTCAGCCATCAAAGGGTGCAGCGAAGGGAACGCGGGCGTGAGTGCGTGCTGAAACTCGCCGTTGATCCTAGCCTGAACCGTTGCAACAATAGGTGTGGGCTACTGAAAGCGGCGTGATTTCATCAGATGAAACCAGCAAGAGTGCCGATAAGAGTGAAATGAGTGATGCGGATAAATGGCAAACCTCCCTTTTTGGGGAAGTCCACGGGATATCCATTGGGGATATCACGGGATATCCATTGGGAACTTGAGGTAAAAGAAGAGTTACATCGCTGCTTTTGCCTGCAAGTTACAGTTCGTGGAGCGGTCACCGAAGCAATTCTTTCATGGATCCGGCCGGGTCAAGCACAGTGCACCATCTTGGGTCAAGCACTTCATCCCTGAAGTTAAAACATGTTAAAACTAATACCTGGGCTATATTCCTCCCAATTCAACACAAAGTAGACCCCACATCCATAATTACTAAAATTACTACTTACTGACCTACTGACTTCGGGTATCAGCTCCGTTTGTCACCAGACTTTCCGACTCAGAGTTTCGAACGCGCCGCCCACTCACGCAGCAAAGGCGCCCCAGTGGGCAAAACAGCCAGGGTGGTTGGTGATTTCAACTTCTCCAAGATGTGTATCCCGCTGAACCCCCCAACTAAGCATCTTGGAGTAAAAGAATGATATCCCAAACTTGAGGGTATCCTCCATTTTTGGAACCGCCATATCAATAGTTGGAGGCAAATCAGCCCAGATAAAAAGATCAAAATGACAAAAGGACACAAAAGGTGACAACCGCATATAAAAGCAGTGAATTAAATAATTAGTTGAAACCGCCGGCCAGGTTGTTTGCTCTCACGAACAGGTATGCTAAGCATTGAAAAAGGTTGCCGCTCACAGTGGATCTGGCGCACTTCATCTGGAGCGTTATTAGAACAGTCGTGCTGCCACACGCTTGGTGGTTCCAGCCTGGGCACATCGTTTGGTAATCTGGCCATTGATCCAAGGGTCGGAAACTCCAATAGTTGCTGCACTGCTGTATATCCGTCGCGGATGGGTCTGAACTATGATTCTTTGGTATCACATCTTTTTTAAAGAGAAACATCCACAATGACTTTGGCCCCCCAAAAAAAAACATCGTTTTGAGCACTTTTCCCTTCGATACATGGGTCAAATATCGGTTCCATGTTTGCTGGTTGCAGTCCCAACATCTATCGATTCAGAGTGCCAAGCGCTGCGCGGGCAGTCTTGTCAAGCTCTTTCATCACCCTCCATATAAATGCAAAGATACTGTTTGTCCCATTTTTGACGGATCAGACTGCCAATCTCTCTAGGACTGAGTAGTTTAATTAAGTAGTTTACCCTCCGGTAATTCAACATAGCCATGGAAAATGACCCATGTGCAGATGGTTTTTGATGATTTACATCTCAAAACATTTTCATTTTCGATGGCTATGGCACGAGTAGGGTATCAGAGGGTAAATCATCAACAAGACACTCTCATTCATATATAATATCTGTCGATTATGCATCATGCGCGCGCCGTCGATAGCAGCGCTGAGGAATTTAACGTTTTTTGTGTTCGAAAGATGTTGACGACGTTTATGTTTCTGTTCATGATAACTTTTGCATGGGGTGGGGTGGGGTGGGCTAATAACGTTTAATCGTTTGCGTTCTTTGGTGATTTTTTTTGCAATTCCCATAACAACTCCCACCCCGCTTTTGCATCTACGCTATGAGCCACTATGAACATATGAAACATTTCAGCACGTTCGTGATGTTACGTTGAATGTCCCATAGTAGGCAGGTCCTGGCAGGAACCCAAACACTGGACAGAGCATGGCAAGATATGAAAAAATATGTTCCATGTAAAATCAGAACCAAAAACAAAACATCAAAGAAGATCAATGCCAGGCTCTGGGACTGGATATTTAGCTGGCAGTGGGGTAGGAACTGTCAGGGAGACACGCGGTGTCATATGGCAGAGCAGTTTCGCAGATAGAAATAACCATGGTGTGTCTTCAGCTGAAAAATCACCAGCGCCGCTCCCCACGGCGTGACCAATATCATAATATATGTATATATATATATATACATATAAATATTAGTAAAGCAATAAACCCCCCATATGGATTGATGGTTGGAATCCCAGCCCCAAAGTTGGGGATAGTGGATTTCCCACCTTGCGGACGGCGCCTCACAACGCCACAAGAAGGTGCTCCGCCTCGATATGCCCTCGGAGGATGGGGCTGAAAAGGGATGATGTGAAGTTGGATGAAATTGAATCATGAATGAAAATGGAAAAACAATGATGAACCTTGACATGTTCGAGGATGTGCTTATTAAGAATAGTGATGTTTAACAGCCATGTGAAATGACCAGAGTCTCAGAGAGTACATTGGTTTTGGCATCCCAAAATAGGGGATTCAAGCAGGTTTCCCCTGCATCTAATTCCGGGAACTCAAATATCTGATATCAAATGATCGAAGGAAGTTTAGAAGTCAAACTTCCGACAATATGGACAGATGAAAAAGCAGGTGGGAAGAGTCAGAGAAGAAAGAGAAGAAAAAAGAAGATCAGAGAAGAGAAAGAGTCGGAAGAAAGAACATGCAGGTGGGCGAAAAGGTAGAAAAGTCCAAATCACTGCGTTTTTCCGATAATTTGTGGCCCCGGAGGGTCGAAAAGTCGGCTCGCTAAAGCGGCGGGTGCGGAGCCATCTGGCCAGATGAGAGATGAAAAATTGCACGCCGTTGTGGCGCGAAGCACATTTCGAAGTCAAACCGGACAAAACACACCAGGGGTCGTGACGGTGAGACGGTATGTCCTTGCTCATAGAGGCCCAGAGGTCATGGACCTTGCCTTGCAAGAGCTGCACAAAAGCATCAGGTTCGGAGCACTTTTGGAAGTTGAGATGGCGAAAAAGTGCACGCCGTTGTGGCGCGAAGCACATGTCGAAGTCAAAAGGTACAAAACACCTCATGTTCGGAGCACTTTTGGAAGTTGAGATGTCGAAAAAGTGCACGCTGTTGTGGGGCGAAACACATTTCGAAGTCAAAATGCTAAATAGACGTTGAAGCGTCGTAGGGATTCTGGCACTTCGTCAAAAGTGAGCAAAACGTGAGGTTTTGTCGCATTTTAAAAAACAATGGCAGGCGTGGGACAGGTGAAGAGGATCTGCAAACTAAACTACTACTACAGCTACAACTACAAATGCAAACCAAATATACTACGTTCCCTTGCACTACACTAATTACACTACACTACACTAATTACATCTAGTTACATCTAATTACACTACACTACACTAATTACACAGCAACAAGAACAACAACAACAACAACATCAACAACAACCACAACAACAACAACAACAACAAACAACAACAAACAACAACAAACAACAACAAACAACAACAAACAACAACAAACAACAACAAACAACAACAAACAACAACAAACAACAACACAACAACAACAAACAACAACAAACAACAACAAACAACAACAAACAACAACAAACAACAACAAACAACAACAAACAACAACAAACAACAACACAACAACAACAAACAACAACAAACAACAACAAACAACAACAAACAACAACAAACAACAACAAACAACAACAAACAACAACAAACAACAACAAACAACAACAAACAACAACAAACAACAACAAACAACAACAACAACTACTACTACTACTCCTACTACTACTCTACTACAACTCCCACTACTCCTACTACTCCTACTCCTCCTACTGCAACTGCAACTTTAACTGTAACTGCAACTACAACAACAACTACTACTACCACCACCACGACCACCACCACCACCAGTACTACCACTACCACAGCTACAACTTCAATTACAACTACACTACATTACACAACACTACACTAATTACACTGCAGAACACTACAGCTACAAATACAAATACAATTACGCTACATTACACAACACTACACTACACTAATTAACATAGATTACACTACAACTACAACTGCGACTACAACTACAACTACAACTGCACTACACCACACTACATCCAGCAGTTGTGGTGAGGTGACCATTGCAACCATTGCAACCACTCCAAAAAACACAACTCCAACCACCTTCCGGTCCATCAGCGATTCGCTCTGCCATCCGTGATTCACAACAACCAACCTCTCCTACAGGTTTCCTATTTTTGAAACTTCCGCCACCGCGTTGTGCGGTACTACTGGTATCTATCCTCAATCGATATGGGTGATGTTCTTTATTGAATCACCCAATCTGTCGATACTCTTTGAAGCCGTCAGGCGGATCAGTGAGCGGTGACATGTCAAACATGTGAATAGAAAGAGCCCGCAGGCCAGAATTTTTGGCATCTCTCCATGATTTAGTTTGACTTAGACTGATGATCAACCCACCATGTGGGTCGTCTCAAATTCAATCCATGCCCAAAATTCGCACATTTGAAAGCCGCATCCCAGGGCCCCATGCGGTTGCAAAGCCATATGTGATCAAATATGGTTGTAAAGGCCCCAGGTATTCGGAGAAGATGGTGCCGGAACTGTTCGAACATTTAATGAAGAAAGAAAACGTTTTTGCACCAAAATAGCAATGTCCAACTCTCCAAATTCAGATTTGGTCACTGATTTCCCCCAGGCAGGTGGTCAAATTTTATCTTCTCAGATCACGACGTCATCAGGCAGAGTGGTTTCCAAAGTCATGGGGGGGCCCAAGGTATCATCCAAGTCCAAGTCTTTGGTCCCGCTTTTCTTGCGGACACTAGTGATGATAAGGGCTACGGGAGCTCAAAATTGAAACCGTCCCCATTTTGGAAGGTTCCTCAATTGCAACCAAGGCACGTGCCACCTCCTTTGGAGCCTTCTGAACTTCAGGTTCCTGTACCTGCAGCTGGGTTTAGTGACCGAACTGCGGTTCGGTGGCTGGCCTTTTTCGGGATTGGTAGGGCCCAAATGGGTCCAAAGCCAGGTTTGGGTTGTCTTTAATGATCCCAGTTTTGGTGATGAAACCAGCATTTTCAGACCTAGGAATTAAATGAATTGATCAAGTGCATAAGCAACGCTTCGACCATGAGCATTCATGAGTATACAGCAAAAAAAAGCTCTAATGCGCTCCAGTAACTACTGGATCAGTTGGGGAAATCAATACCAAATGCAAGCCGGGTTCCAGTGGGGAACCATCAAAAGCATCAAGTTCAAGATGACCAATGGCATCTAGTTAGAATACTGTATATCTATATATATATGTATATGTGTGTGTGTGTAAAATGATGTGTAGATGCATACATATGTAGTGGAAAATTGTCAAAAATCAGAATAATTAGTAATAACAAAAATATGTAATAACAAAAAATAAAGTAAAATAATCGTAGTATTAAGCATAATACTAATAGTAATGATAATCATAAGTTGGGAAGGGGGAACGAAAACCAACATCAAATTTTGACCAGGATTTGGATCTGCCAACATGCTGCGCCTGTCGGCCTGAACCTCCTTGAGGAATCCCCAGGGGTGTTTAGCGTTTCCCAGACCGCTCTGTGAGGCCTTTTGGGGTAAGGGGTACAGAGAGAAAGATGTTCGAATAAATCCACGCCTGTGGTACCACATTCAGACCAGGTCGAAAGTGTGAGACTGTGAAGACGGGCTAGGAAACAAGATCCCAACCCCACACCTTCATCTTAGAATTTCGTCCCAAAGACGAATGCAAACTATATGCAAGTTATCTTGGAAAACACTCAGGGAAGGTCAAAGATATATATATATTTTTTTTTCGCAACAATTCCTAACCCCCTGATCCCCCTGGATCCCCCCAGCCCAGAACAATCAGGAACCACGGGGAATTGATACCCCAACGTCACCTATTTGCTCCTGGCCCAGCAAACTCCGCCTGAACACCACCTAATTCTGAAGAAAATGGGCACCTCGTCAACACCTCCCCCCACAGCCCGTATTGTTTCTTCGTTCGCAAAAGTACCTAGCCAGCTTCCCTACTGGTTTGTTACAAATAACGATTATCATGAAAATACTGATGCTGATGATGATGATGATGATGATGATGGTGGTGGTGGTGGTGATGATGATGATGGTAACAACACAAATAAGGTTGTGTATTAAAAACACCGTGTAAAATACATATATATATATATGATCTATATAAATGTATACATATATACGTATATACATATATGTATACATGCATGTATGTGTGCACACGTATAGCTATATATATATGTGTGTGTAGTGATATGTATATATATATGTGTGTGTTGACATTTTTGTATTGATATGAATGCATTGGTATATATATATACACACATATATATATATATATATATGCATGTGTATATATATATAATATATATATGCATGTATCGAGATTTATATACATATATATATATATAAATATACAGTGATCCTAAAGGAGATAGAATATTTTTGGAGGGTGCGGGATTTATGCTGGAATTATGTTGGATGTTGGCCACTTAAGAAAAATAGTAGTTGGAATATTTCGACCCCCCCGGGGAGGTCGAAAACTGGTAGTTGGAATATGGCTTTGAGGGGTAGATAGAATGTGTTTGTTCAAAGTGGCCCATTCACAGAACGCATATCCTGTGGAAAAACAGTCTCAAGCTGCTGTGGAGTCTGCGCGTGTTCACAATTCCCTGAAAAATTCTATTCAATCTATTTTTTGATCTTCTATCAATGTTTTTATGTTTTTTTGATTTTGTGTTTTTTCAATATGTCTTCAGACCCGTGTCCAAAATTGGCTAAAAATGACTTTAACAGGGACGAAAACGTGTAAAATTTAGGGTTTTGAAAATATTCCAACTATAAGTCTGGAAAATCGAAAATGAAAATGTCGATAAATGCCGGATATTTTATCTACTCCAGGATGGCTCTCTCTCTCTCTATATATATATATATATGCGTTGAGATCTATACATATGTATTGATATATTGATATATATATATATATTTATTTATTTATTTATTATTTATTTATATGTATATATATATATGCATGTATGTATTGATATACATATATATATATATATATGTATTGATACTTAAATATATACATTTATTTATCTTTTGATATTGATATATATATATATATAGATATGTGTGTATTTATATGTATTAACATATACATTCGTATGTAAATATATATATATATTCGTATGTATGTATCTAAATACATGTGTAAATAAACATGTATATAGGCAAAAAAAATGTATACACACATTTAAATATGTATAATATTGTATAATTATGTGTATGTATATGTGTGTGTAAATATGAGAATATAAGGATATGCATATATATATATATTGTATATGCATGTATATATAGGTATATATGTGTGTATATGTATTTATATAGGTATATATATATATATGTGTGTGTGTGTGTGTATCAATTCATATCTATATATATATATACATTTATTGTGAATGGATGCTAACATGGTTCATTTGGCAACCCCAGATTGCCCACCGGACGCACCCGAGCGACGGGCCCTAATATACGCATTTTGGTACGTACGTACGTACATATGTATGTATAACCAATGCCTAGTCGGAAGCGTCAAGTTCCAATTCATTAAACCCAATCCTTTCGTCTCCCACCTTGGGCACTTCTGGCACCGGCTCAACGTGGAGTTCCTTTCGAAATTGCTCCAGTTGAGGATCGACTTGTGGCACGGGAGCCTGCGCGTGTGGCGTGTGAAAGGGGTTTGGATTCTCTGGAGATCTGATAGGACCCATCTGAAACAAAAAGACTCGAAGTGTGTGTGGCTATGATCCCAAATTTCCAGTGGTTGAATCAGTTGGGAGAAATCGAATCGCCCGAATCGCGATAATGCACATAACGTGCGCATGAACTTGCATGACTTAGCATCAAAATGATGCAAGCTATTCTAGTCGTGGGGTTCGCTAATCTATCATCGACTCATCGCCCATTTTGCCTTCATGAGTTCCGCTATCGAAGTTGGTCCAGGATGGGCCCTAAAAAGGGCCCATCCAATTCTCAATTCGTGAGTTGCGTTAAAAACAGGAACAGAACAATCTTTACCAAAACAGTTGCATAGATTTGTCCCTACTGTTGTTAAAATCAATGTTAAAATCAAATTTGTTTATGCCTTCAGGGTCCCAAAATTGCTAAGCTTGTTCTTTACAGCCCTTAAATTCAAGATGGGACAAGAATTGGGCAATTGGGTCTGAAAAATGATGACACTTGGATTGCCATGCTCGGGTTCCAAATCGTAAATGTTTGGGGATCAAAATGTGGGGAAAATATACCCTCTGGTTATTTAACCTAGCCATGGAAAATCACCATTTTTAACAGGTGAACCATCTATTACTATGGGCCATCTATACCATGGCTATGTTAAATAACAAGAGGGTATATTTGGTAAATCCTTTGATCCGAACACCCCAAGCTCTCGTTTCGAGAGCCGGCCTGCAATTGGTCAAGGAAAACGGCCAGCAAATCATTCTTCAGGTGCCCTCCCAGGTGCAATGGAAGTGTGACCATCACTTCACGTCCGCCATCTTTGAGCTTCCAAAACGAGCTAATGTGGCATTTCATGTCATCATGTGGCTAAGCCAGTGACCTAAGTCTCTCTCCGGCCACACCAGATGTGACCTACTACGGTAGTGGTCCTACCATCCAGGGTTCGCACCTTCATTGGCCACGTTGGCAAGGGTTTTAAACCATGCGTCCAACCTGTCAGCTCAACACTTAGAGCCCAAATTTCACCAGAGTTCACCGGCAAAAACCGGCAAAAACCAATGACAGATGGCTTCAAGACTTGAGCGGAAAGTGAGTACTTCCCGTACTTCCCTTAAAATCTTCAGGTCAGGAAAAATGTGCTATGGAAAATGTGCTGTGGAAAATGGGAAAACCTCGATGTTGGACGAACATGGTCAGCCATGGCTAGCCGCACCTTTTCGTTGTCCCAGGAAGGCCGCCATGATGTGCAAAGCGCGTGTCCTGTCCGGATTTGGAACCTGCTACCCCCATCCAACTCCCATCATTCCAGTGAGGTATTAAAAAAAGTTGTTGGTCGCATGGAAAACCCTAGAAAATCACTGGCCATCATGGTTCTCATTGTTTCTCCATTACTTCAAACTGACCTTTGGGGCACACGTGGTTGTACAAACCCAGGCATTGGAAATTCGCACCAGCCACCTGGTTGGCTCATTTTTGGCACGGAAAGATGTGGGAAAATCCTTGGGAACATTTGGGACCTAGCAAAGTGGAGCATCTGCACATGCAGCTTGATTCCAGCAAATCCTACATCGAACAGTCACAAATCTGAAGATAATTTCCACAAACCAAAAAGTGTCTGACGTCCCCTTTCATAGCAGATTGGAACGTGCGCCATGCTGAAAAACAACCTTCGAAGACCAAAAATGCACACGTCATCCATCACTGCCCACCTGGAAATGCGTTTTGTAGTCGGTCCCAAGCTCCTGCACGCGGGGCAGCAAAGCCTGGCTAAGCCTTTCCAAAGAAGCTGATCTTGGAATCATTTCTGATATATGGCATGGTAGTAATTGGTAATGGTAATGGTAAGTAATGGTATCATACGGTATGGTATGGTATGGTATGGTAATCTGATTTGGTTGCGTTCCTACCCCGGAATAAGGAAGAGAACCACTCATGACGTCATGTCGACAGCAAGAAGGGATCCCACATTTGGTGTCTGAGCATGCAGCGCTGCCAGCAAAATGAGTAGGTCTTGCACTACCCACTTGTGGACAGCGTTTGAATCCTTGTTTTTCTTCAACCCTCGGTTCATTGATGTTCATTGAAATACCGCATGACAACAATCAGCTACATACTGCCAGGATGGATTACCAAAGAGCACAGAAACAACTTTACGCCCTCATTCTGGTTCATATTTGCAAAACATATCAGCTGCGACCCTCACTCACAAAAAAATGCGGGTAAGAGGGTCACTTGTGCCAACCAAAACGGGCCACCTGAGTTGACATTTGCATATGCACTTATGGAACACTTTACTCCGCACAGGTTCAACAGTTTAGGGTCTACTTTTAGCTTACACGGTGACTCGGGGCCCCAGATAGTTTGTACATGTTTATCTTTGTGCATGTTTCTGCTTTGATGTTGTGTAACATGAACATGAGTTTAAAGTTGATCTTTTGACATAGAGATGTTCGAACAAGTCCTCTTTGTTCATGGGTTGGAGAGTGGAGCAATAACGTTCTTGATAGTACGCTCTTGATGGTTCATCTACATGAAGTGACAGACATGTTCCTACGTTTGTCATTGCTTGGGGGGGGTTCGAGGGGTGGGGGGTGGCTGGGGTGGGGGGTAGCAGAGGCTCAAAACCTCGTAAATACCGTGGTTTTGCGTTGGCGCGGAGCCAAAAACATCGGTATTTACGGTGTTTTTTTGTTCTGAGAACGTGAAAAATCGCGAAAACACCGCCTATTTGACGCTTTTTGGGGGTTTGCAAAAACCGTCGGTTTGACGATTTTGGGGGGTTTGCAAAAAGTACCAACTACAAAGATAACAACGACAACGACAACAGGACCAAGCAGCAACAGCTATAACAACAATAACAACAACGACGACGACGCCGCCGCCGACGACGAAGACGACGACAACAACGACAACGACGACAATGACGATTCTTACCTAGTTCAGATGAAATCCCCCTCTCTCTTTCCCTCCCCCGACCCCTACAGGCATCGCCGGCGTGCGAAGCTCTACAATTATTTATATATATATATACATACGTATAATATAGTGTGCAATCACCACCGTTTTAAGGGGGTGGGACGTACCCAAAATGTAAGCTACATGTTCAAGGTGTTTTTGAGGGGGCCTTGAAAATGTAAGCTTACATTTTGAAGGTATTCTTAAGACCCTCCGGACAAAAACGACACCTGCGAAACGTTCAGCAACCAATTTTACATTAAAGGGGGGGTCCCAAAAAATGTATCTTACATTTTGGCATGGTCCCGGATGGTGATATTGCACATATATAAATATAGATTGATATTATTCATATCCATTTCATCTTTCTTAGCCAGAGGTAATGCCAGTTCCTAGATCCCGAACAAATCGGAGGTCGCGGTTCGGTCGTGGCAAAGTCCACTCCAAACTATCGATAGGGGAAAAAACTCATATCAAGTTGGAAATGTACCCCATCCGACATTCTCCCCAGCCTGTTTTTTTCCATTATCAAAATTATCATAAATTATCCCCATGCTTGTCCCATTATCAAATTAATTACCCTAAATTATCCCCATGTTTGTCCCATTATCAAATTAATTATTGCAATTTATCCCCATGTTTGTCACATTATCAAATGCGTTATCGTAAATTATTCCCATGTTTGTCCCATTATCAAAATAATTATTGCAAATTATCCCCATGTTTGTCCCATTCTCAAATGCGTTATCGTATTTTTTCCCATGTTTGTCCCATTATCAAATTAATTATCGCAAAAATTATCCCCATGTTTGTCCCATTATCAAATGATCGTAAATGATTCCCATGTTTGTCCCATTGTCAAATTAATTATTGTAAATTATCCCCATGTTTGTCCCATTTTCAATTGCGTTATCGTAAATTTTCCCCATGTTTGCCCCATTATCAAATTAATTATCGTAAATTATCCCCATGTTTGACCCATTATCAGTCAATTGTCGTAAATTATCCCCATGTTTGAATATCTTTGATGACATTCCCATGAAATTGCTCCTTCTTCACATGATCGTGGAGCTTGCTTCGCAGCTCGCTCAGCGATTTTTGGCACGTCCACTCGGCCATCTGCGGCGTGATCCGTTCCCGACATATGTCGCTAATAGTAACCACAATATTGCAGATGCATTAACAATAACGACATAATAATGTTAATGTCGTTAAAACAATGCCATTTTTGCCACACATTTAAGGGAATGGTAAACATACCACCTATAAAAATGGTGATGACTGGGGAATGGTTTATGACATTGTGTTAACCACATTATTGCTTTTATTGGTGTAAAATACACTACTGTTATACATTGTTATGGTGGTGTAGTAGAATATTATAATTGATAATGCTCATTGTGAATATTACAATGCTAGTGTGGCACGTATGTTTACACAAAACATGTAATAACGATAATAACATTTAAAATGCTACTAATAAGAATAGAAGAATAACATTATATATTAATGTATACATGTACACGTCTATATTTGTGCTGCATACGTACACTATACGTACACTTTATGATCTATACTATATATGATATAATTATAGCGGATGAAGTATCCCACGCTCTCTTTCGATGCTTGCTCGGTTCAGTTCAGAGGAAACCATGGCGATGGTTTGGCCATCCCGGATGCTTTCCAATGGCTAACCTTAGGATACACAAAAAACTACTTCGAGACCAATGCCCTGGCCGCCTGGCCCAGAAATGAACCCAGGTCTACCCAAATGCTGAGGCCCCGCACCCTTTCACCCCGTGAAAAGGTGGATTTCAACTTGCACTGAAGGTCATACCTCGGATTGCACCACTTGTCCAACCGAAATCGGAGGATTCCCGTCGTTTCCCAAAGATTGGTGATAGAGTACAGCTGGAATCTCCATCTCCAAGACACGTTTGATCCTCGGAGGAAGAAAGCCTCGGTAGGCAACTCGGATGGTGCTGCAGTATCCTCCCTGTTCTGGTCAACTGCCAGTTGTTGTGGTTCGTTAGGTTCGTGTTGATCCATCATCCATATAAATCATCTTATCCATCTGACATCATTCTGAACTCCCCCCAAGCCCATCTCAAGCTATCTGAAATCCAACTTAATCCATCTTCAATCCCGTTGAACTCCATATTAATCCATGATTCTTGCAACCCCAAACAAATCCAACTTGATCAATCATTTTTTGATGTTTCCATCTACATTTGGGGGGTTCTTAAAATAGCGGGGGCTCCTCCATTTCTGCAAGGTGGTGCCCCCCAGTTACAAGTTGTGCCCCCCCAGTGATGTTTGTTGGTTTATGAACCATAGTAAGTATAGATATCTGGGCAAATTATAATAATTCACAAACCTGAATTAAGGCCATTTGGGGATGATTTCCCTTATTAACTCCCAGTGAGGTCGCTGTGAGGTCGTTATAATTTGCAACCATAGTGAAACTGGAGTTATTTGCACCAACTTAGCTAAGTAAAAACATGGGGCACCACCATCAACGGACCAAGTCGCCAAGAGCGGCTGCCGTCGTGCTCAGTGACGTGGATGGACAGCTCCGGCTGCGTGTCTCGGAAGTAGCCGAATTTCCACCTGGGCCAGCGGAGTTCAAACAGGCCCCTACTACCCTCTGGTAATTTAACATAGCTATTGAAAATGGCCATTTATAGTGAGTTTTCCCATTAAAAATGGTGATTTTCCATAGTTATGTTAGTTTACCAGAGGGTATATCCCCATCAAAAACCCCAACAATCCCACGATATCCCATTTTTTTGCCATAAGCAGCCGAGAATATCCCATGTACTTATTTTTTTTGATGGAAAATCCACTAATTATTTGTAGATGACTTTCTGTGGGAACCATAGCTTTTTCATATCTATGTTAGTTTATTTTCACCTAGGGTGATGGGCAAATGGCAAAACATTATAACGGAAATGATATCAAACTCTGGTGGTTGCTCATCCACAAAAGGGGTATGAAAACAATGTGGAGGGGATAACAAACGATTCACAATAACATACAATAACATTGCATATATATATATATATGTATGTATGTATGTATGTATGTACATGTACATGTACATGTAAATGTGTATGTATATGTATATGTGTGTGTGATCAAGAAATGGAATTTAGCCACCAAGAGTAAAGGACTTGTTTGCCAATAAATGGGCAGTCAGACATGATTTACCCACAACGAAACCCTTCGGAAAATAGACATCGATTCGTAACCTGATAGCTCAGCAATCATTATTCCATATCATTCCGTGTGGGATGGAAAAGAAGAAATCATTGAAACCAACCTAAACAGTTGAAAAAACTAATGGCACAATTCACAATCATATGAATCATATGAGCTTACCACAATTTACCATGCACCATTCACATTTCCATCAGAATTCCCGTCGAACCAGTGCCGCTGAATCGCAGATAGCGTCGCGAGTCTCCTATGTGTTCCATCAGCCGGTGATGTTCCTGGTGAGGCGCGATTCATCGTCGATTTCGAGACCGCTGCACGTAAATATATATATATATATCACATATGATATATGTATAGCACAAATTTCTAGCTATGTATTTTGTGGGCCCTGGTGGCGTCCCTTTCTGATAATATAATATAATATAATATAATACGTTATGATATAATATAACATATATATATATATATTATGATATAACAATATAATATAATATAATATAATGTGATATAATATTAAAGAATATAATATTATATTGTATTATATTATTTTATATTATAGAAAATAATATAATACAATATTATATATATATAACCTAATGTATATATATATATATATAACATAATATATATATAACATAATATATATATGTATGTTATATTTATATATATATATGGATCTAATATAACAAAATACAACGACGTATCGTATTCATTATGTATTCATGGGGTTTTCTAAACTCTTAAACAATAAACAGGACACCCAGCCTCCGACTGGATGCTGTCTCTCGTGGACTGGGAACACTTGCCTCAGCATTTTTGGGCCCGCTAAAACAACTGGAGCCTCTGGATTTTTGGGGGATCATTATACGGATCTCATGGGCATTATATGGATATTTTCCGGATATTATGCATTATTATGCTACAAAACTAGATTTTTTTACTATACTAGAATATAATAGAATATTATACTAGATGTTTTCCAGTATAAACTGGTGAACTGGAAACGATATGGATACATATTCTTAGACATCTCCTTAAAAAAAACAAATCTGAACTGTCAGGCAGGTCATAATATGCAAGGCCTCGCCCAAACAGATCCTGAAACCTGGTTGGCTGATCAGTGGTTCGCCCAAACTATCCATAGATTGGTTTTTCAGGATCTGCAGGACATCGGATTTTACCATGAGCCAAGTCGCTGCTTCTGCGACGCTCCGGTTTGAATTCGGACAAGGTGAGGCTATCCATCGGTTGCGGAGCCCGACTGGCGGCGACGTAGGTTTCCCAAAGCTGGGGGGCCAAGTCACCATGAGCTTCAATAGGTTATGCATGAAACCATGAAACCCCTACTAAGTAGTATACAGTATTCCAATGATGAAACCATTATCACTTGGGGTACCCCTACTTTATAGGCATCTTCGAATCTCTAAGCAGCAAGATCCTTCAGTATCTTCAACCAGCATTGTCAAGGGTCAGCGTTCGCAACATCGAACTATGAGTTAGTCACGAAGCTCCTTGGTATGGCCTCAAGTCGCTGCTCACGCTGCTTCTGCGACGCTCCGGTTTGAATTCGGACAAGGTGAGGCTATCCATCGGTTGCGGAGCCCGACTGGCGGCGACGTAGGTTTCCCAAAGCTGGGGGGCCAAGTCACCATGAGCTTCAATAGGTTATGCATGAAACCATGAAACCCCTACTAAGTAGTATACAGTATTCCAATGATGAAACCATTATCACTTGGGGTACCCCTACTTTATAGGCATCTTCGAATCTCTAAGCAGCAAGATCCTTCAGTATCTTCAACCAGCATTGTCAAGGGTCAGCGTTCGTTCGCAACATCTATTGATGATTAAGTAGTCACGTAGTCACGCTCCTTGGTATGGCCTCTGGGAAGGTGAACATCTCAAAAGAAGGAAGACCAGCAATCCAGAGTCATCCACCTCCTGTTACCCATCCGTCCCATGGCTAATCTGTGATACTCCGCCCCAAAGAAGTTAGGAAAATGATTTTGAGCCCAAAGTGTAAAAAAGTGTTTATTCCCCTTCAGTTGGGTTATCCATATTTTGTGAAATCGCTTAGATTTCATAGTTCCCCACCTGCCAGGTGAGGGTTGTTAGATTTTATGTCAGTTGCCTCCTCGTCCTCCTCCTCCTTCTCCTCCTCCTCCGCCTCCTCCTGCCTCGTCCTCCTCTCCTCCTCCTCCTCGTCCTCCTCGTCGTCCTCGTCGTCCTCGTCGTCCTCGTCGTCCTCGTCGTCCTTGCTCAACTGCGACCCGCGATCCACTGTGTTCTCTGCCGGACCTCAACCACGACCATCCACGCCCAGTGTTCCCTGCCGGACCTCAACCACGACCATCCACGCCCAATGTTCCCTGCCGGACCTCAACCACGACCATCCGCGCCCAGTGTTCCCTGCCGGACCTCAACCACGACCATCCACGCCCAGTGTTCCTGCCGGACCTCAACCACGACCATCCACGCCCAGTGTTCCCTGCCGGACCTCAACCGCGAGTATCCACGCCAAGTGTTCCCTGCCGGACCTCATGTAGGAAGATATGGGACAAAGAATGTGCAGAAGAAAGTTAGAAAGAATGTCAGAAAGAATGTCAGAAGATATGCCAGAAGATACGCCAGAAGATATGCCAGATAGAATGCCAGATAATATGCCAGAAGATATGCCAGATAGAATGCCAGAAGATTTGCCAGATAGAATGCCAGAAAATATGCCAGAAGATATGCCAGATAGATATGTCAGAAGATATGCCAGATAGATATGTCAGAAGATATGCCAGAAGATATGCCAGAAGATATGCCAGAAGATATGTCAGAATATATGCCAGAAAATATGTCAGATAGAATGCCAGAAGATATGTCAGAATATATGCCAGAAGATATGCCAGATAGAATGCCAGATTGAATGCCAGAAGATATGTCAGATAGAGTGCCGGAAGATATGCCAGATAGAATGCCAGAAGATTTGCCAGATAGAATGCCAGAAGATATGCCAGATCATATGCCAGAAGATATGCCAGATAGAATTCCAAATAGAATGTCAGAAGATATGTCAGATAGAATGCCAGAAGATTTGCCAGTAAGAAAATGTATAAATGTCATGGTGGGGATCACACGAAGTAAAGTAATTTTTCGTTTTTTTCACTGGGCCAGCCAGCCCGCATCTTTTTGTCTGGTGATGTCTGGTGCAACGGTGTGTAAAAGCCCGCACTCTTCACGCTCAACAACCCCCCAATTTGGATGTTCACTTGAGCAAACTTGTATTTATCATCCCCGAGTTGCACAAAGCACTACAGTTTCAGTTTCAGTTCCCCCAAGTGTTCCAATTTTAGCTACCCTCCAGCAATCAAACGTGGCAACGTTTAGAATCCTATACTTTTCATTCGCTTTTCATGAGTAAACCATCGGACTTTTGAAAAAGGGGTGGATTTTCCATGATTTTCCCACCCAGCCATGGGTAGATTTTCCCAAAAATCCTTCCATTCAGAATCCCTTCAGCCAGGATTTTTCACCCCATGGACCTGGCCTCTCCACTTCCTCGCAGGCCTCCTTCGACCCTGTGGAGCCCAGGTTCTCCACGGGAACCTCGTCGCCTTGCGAAGTAACGGCGGCTTCCTTGCCGGAGCGGCGAATCTCCTGCCTCGGGGAAAAGCTGGACCATTTTTGAGATGAAAAACATGGCAAAATGATGGAAACCTATAGGAAATGATAGGAAAATGATGAAGCCATGATTTGTCTGAAGCTAGTGTATCATAGTGTATCCCAATGGATTGTTGCATTATCCCCATTTAAAATTTATAAAACAAAATGTTATTTGGAGGGTATACCCAATTCACAAATGGAACCCTGCCTTAAACAGCCCAAGCGTTTACAGTATTCAATCCCGAGCCAGCATTTTGTTTAAAAAAGGTGCTACCGATACGCCTGTTCATGACTGATTCATGGCAACAAAACAGTAGGAACGTTAATATTCGCAATCACAACATTTTGGCGACTTGCCCTTAAAAGGTTCAGACAAACCGACAGACTTGCCCCAATGAGATTGGTGGTTTCAGCCCACAAAATAGTACCAAATTCTGCCATTGACCATTAGAGGATCCATGGCTTGCTGCGAAAAACGCCGCAATTTTTCATCCCATCCACCGTTCAAACACCCCCATTGTGTGGTCCCAAATCTATGTGAATCCTCTACTAAACCATGTCTGGGAGGTGTACAATATTAGAGGGACAGGATTGGACACCGAATGGTTTTCGCATTCAAATGTCTTGATCTTCAATGGATGGGTTTAAGGGAAAATCCTCACCGGAAACCATGGGATCTTCCCATTTTTTTACAATGGACGTTCCTGATAATTTTCCCTTAAACCAATCCATTGAGATATAGGGGATGTTCATTGCTTTTCTAGCCATGTTTGGCCACTGGGACGCTGGGTCCCCCGACATCTGCTTCCTTTCTTCCAAGTGTTGCTTGGCAAGATCCCGTGCACGTTGCCACCTCAGTTTAAAATCCATGGGTTTCTCCAACTCGTGGGTTTTTTGGTTTTCCTTCAAAGGCCACAGTTTTTCGGAAATGGCCATAGGTTTTCCTCCAGTTTCCCTTGAGTGAGGCAACCCTGAAAATGATAAAAACTGATAAAAACACATGATACAAGCAAGGCACTGGTCAAGTGATGCACCGCATGCCTGAATTATACTCCTCCTTGGCTCATTTGGCGGAACCATCCATCTGGCTCCGCTTTTTGCCTATGAGCCACGAGTGCTGCTTCGATACTTCCTTTTTGACGGCACCTCCCATTTTGACAGATATGAAAGATCAAATATGATCAAATATGTTTACCCGGCTTTGATCCGAAGAAATGGCCAACGTGTTTTGGAAATTTTGGAAGCCAAATGACCGGCTGAACTTGGCCATTGCTCCAAACCCTGGCCAATGGCCATTGCTGGATCTTCCCACACTATGGCCGCAACAGGGCACAATGCCTCCATCGTGGCTGGGCTTCCCCGCTTCGCTTTGGTCGCGTTGTGCTCTGCCCGGATTTTTTCAAACTTCGTCATCGCGGCTGGATGCGATCAGCACACACAGGTGGTAAAAATGGCACACTGGAGCCGAGAGCACGGGCATCCAGCAAGCGGCAAAAATGGAGGACTACAGTGGACTACAATCAGTTTAGGTGGGGTCCAACATGGGTTATCTATCAAGCAGTGCCGTGAAAATTAGGCTACGCATCGCCACACTACTTTCACCAGCATGCTATTGCCTAGGCCAGAAGAAGGTAATCTGCTGGGAGACCTATTGATGACTGGTTGGTCAACCATGGTAGGTTGGATGCTGGCAAAAATGAATGTGTTCCACTACTGACCATGGGCATATTTCACACAGTTCATGCCCGACCAACCCATGCGTATAGTTGAACATATAAGATCATATAAGTATCATATACGTCCACATGTGTCATGTATGCTTTCTCCGCAAAGCAGCCAGAAGCAAACCCTCTGAACTTTGAGGCATCAGCCAACGCCAGACTTGGAAGCCTCTGGATCAACATCTAGCAACCCATATTATCCCATATTCATATGTTGGGGTCATCCAGGATGACTGACAGATGATCTCCATCTATCTCCATCTAAGATCCGAAAAAAATTCACCAGAAGCTCTGCACCTCCAAGCGCTCGAAGCTGATTCCACCGCAGTATTCCTTGGGCGCCAGGTGGCGCTAGGTGGCGCTGCGCAGCTTGCGCAGCTGGGGGATTCTCTATGTGCAAATTTATGGTACACGTGTGATTGGTAAAATGTAAAGTACATAGTCAACTTAGCATATTTCATTACTATGTTTGAAACATGATTTGCAAACATAAGTATGGTATACACCGATTCCATCCGATTCCTGATTTGTCAGGTGGTGTGCACCTGACATCACACCAAAAATGAAAGAAAATAACATGGGATAACCGTAAAGCTACGAAAAAGGCCACCCGTAGCGAGTGGGGGATGATCATCGGTAGACTTCCTGCCTGGAGATTGGTCGATCTATGCACAAAACCAACCATATCAATGAAGGAAGATCCACAGCTGGAAGCTAAATTTTGATGTGAAAACCAGAGTTGCAAGGTTTTGATCCGATGCCCCCTCTCATTGCTAGGGGCCCAATCATTATATGTCAAGGATGGTGAAAGATCACAAGTGGCTCCCGATCGTAAACCGCAGAATGTCGCACAATATCCTACAGTATGATCTCGTTTTTTCCTTGTCCGAATTTCTCCGAGATTTTTCCCAATCATCCCAAGTTTTCTCCGTTTTCTCCTGGAAATACAGGAATATCCATGAATATCCCAAAAATTCCCAAAGAAAAATCATGAAACGCAGCCCAGCACCGCAGCGTTTTCGATTCAAGGTGCAGCAGCCATCAGCACAGCTTTGGAGGTCTCCCAGGCCACTAGGCGCCTCACCGTTCTGCGGTGGATGCTGAGATTTCGACCATTTTTTCTATCCGATTTTGAATGACTATAGAGTATTGGATTTATTTAGAGATTTCTAGATTTTTTCAAATTCCAAAAAGAAATATTTATTTAGAGATGACTATAGAGTATTGGATCATATTTTTGTGGGCTGTGAAAACCATGGAGAATGGTAACAGTAGATAAGATGGGGATGGGTCAAAAACTATTCTACCCAAAACATCAATCAATCCCAGCAATTTTTGGTTCACCAGATTTTACCAGGGTACAGGTTTTTGATCCATGCCCAATATAGAGATAGATGTAGAATGATCTAGATATAGCAGGTACTCAGACATGTTTGAAAAACATCGGGGAAAAAACATGGCATCTTTCTTTCTTGGGTAGAAATCCGAGACACGTAGAAATGTGCTCTAGACAATGTAGAGATTGTACATGTTTGCACATTGTCTATCATGGGGACGGAAAGAAAATGAAAGAAACATCTTTTAAAAATGGCACCTCAAATAGATCATCAAATAGCCACCAGCTGTGTGTCAACCGGATGTCCAGCCTTTCAGGCAGTAGCTGCAGCAGTTGTCGGGCAGACGTGCCGGCTCCAAGGCCCACCAACCCGAGACCTTTTTTGGCCGGGAATGGCGAGATTTCAAGAGGATTCATGAGGTACCCGGCCCGGTACTAACACAAAAAACGATGGAAAATCACAATTTTTCATGGGTAGATCAACTATTTCGACTGGGCCATATTCAATAGCTATTTTGACATCACCAGAGGGTCGGCTTCTGGCTGGAATTGACCGGTTGGAGCAACCCATTGTGGCATCAAAAGTCATCAAATCAAAGCTGAGTTCTTCAGGCAACAAAGGGACCAACCGAATATGTATTTATAATTATTTGTATATATACATATATATATATATAACAGTTTTCCTACTAAGATTAGGTTCTATAATGTTCTAATATGGTTCGGATGTGACCAACCATAGCTCTTATGGAGACAAACAGGTGGACTCTGATGATCAGCACTGATGGGTTCGTGATTCTGTATTTCCGTGTGTTCCTGACGAGCTAGGGTCAAATTAGAGTAAAATGCACTTTGGGTCCTGAGTTTTCACCCAACAAACATATACAAATCGCATATAATGGCAATTTTCTATCATGACAGTCGTGCAATTAGTTTTTACTTTTTCCTGGATATCAAAGATTGACCGATCCAAAGCCATAGGACTTTACACACTTCGGACGGTCACAAAAAAGGAACATAGTATAACATGGCTGTATGAAATTCAAAAAGACCAGACGGCGTGCTCATGCTTCAAGCAAGGCAGCGTGTCCCACACAAGCACCAAACACCCCATGAGGCTACATTGCATTGCGACCAACAGCTGGGGTCAGGTACCCAGCGAATTCAGTCGGGCAAATGCAGCCGCAGAAGCCGTGAAGCAGATTCAAAAGGGAAAGGAAAATCCGTGGGGTCAAAGAGTGGTGCCGCAACAAAAGCCACGCTCAGGAACGTAGGGAACTGAGTTGCCTGTAGCCATAGGGAGGTCGACCGGCATGAAGATGCACCAGGAGCGCGCTAGCCAGGCACTCTTCGGAGGACAGCCCTGGCGTTCTCCCTCTGCAAAGCCACGGAAAGGCACTGAAGCAAGCGGTCGTACTCGACGCCGGCAGGCTCATTGCTCCGAGCCGCCACAGCCGTGGCAATGGCTTTGAAGGTTTGCAAGGCAATAGGGCCCCAGCCCCCGCCACAAGCTTCAGCGACAATAGGCAAGAGCTGCAAGCCTTCTGCCCCGCAGCTGGCCAGTGTGTTCTGGTGTGAGCACTTTTTGACTTCGTACTCAGCCACAGCATGTTGGCCGTTGGCGGCTGTTTGGGCCAGGGACCCCAGCCGCATGCCTGAGGTCACGGCGAGGTCCAAGGCAGCAGGTCCAAGCAGCCCCCAATTGCCAATCCACACATCCGCGGGGCGCCTCCCCGGGCCAGCACGACCACCATCTTCAGGAGCACCTCCGTCTTCTGGGCGGGGTGGGAGAAGACCAGGTTTTTCGACTTCGGTGTGGAACCCAGCTGCCTGCGATCGGGCAGCGACCAGCGTCCGCAGGCTATGGTGGCGCTTTGTGCGGTCGCCACCACACGGGCAAACCCTGGCATGGTCGCCGTAGCAATTAATCATCCTAGGAGTGTTCCGCAACGCCGCTCTCTTTTCACCACGTATTTAGGCGCCGTCACTTTGGACGGGACGGGAAATTTCGAGAAAACGAGGCGTGGCGTGGCGCTGGCCACGATTTCTGAGGAACAACTGTCAAACCTTTTTCATTGGTCACATCCTGTGATGCAATTTTCCAGGATGCCACTTGGTCTGCCTCAAGATAGGGTACCCCGGGTACCCCCCCACATTTCATTCTGTTTTTTGTCCAAAATCCCCCAACCTTCCTGCTGTTGATCCCCATGTTCAATAGTAAAAGAATTATCTTGATACGTGTAGCCACCAGAAAATGTGTCAAGGGGATTCAATGGGGGTAAATCACCCAATTTTTAGGACCAACCCATATCAAAGATTCTCGGTAAAGTGCCATGATATCAATTTCCCAGAAATCAACCCGTTGTTTGTCAGATTTTGCCACATTCTCATGAATTCTCCATAGATCAACCATGATCAACCCATGTTTTGTCAATTGTTCCCATGAATGTACCAATGTCGCATGAATTTCCCACGAAAACCCCTATCAATCTATATATATATATACATATATATATATATAAATCCCATAAATGTCCCATGCTCTTCCCATCTGTTGTCAGATTTCCCCTTGCGGCGCGTTGCGCAGGCGTCGCCTCAAAGGCTCACGAGCTTCGCGTCCTTGGCCACGAGCTCCCGCAGTATGCGGTGACGGTCCCTGGAAGCCCTGGAAGGCGGGCTTCGGGGTGAGAATTTCCATCGGATTTCCATGGGATTTCCATTGTGTTAAAAAAAGGTGTTTGAATTGGTATTTCACGGGATTTTCATAGGATTTAAGATATCTAATCTAAGGGGTTCTAATTTTTTCTAATGGTGTTTCAATGGGGGGGTTCATAGGGGAATTTACCAGAAGTCCAGCGGGGCTGGAAACGTTTGACTACCAGAGGCTAATGGGGATTGGAACCGTGGAATCGGGGTTCAATGGTGATTTCCCGGGGCTCTATATATATATACATACGTTTATATGTATCTATTATTATCTATTTATATTTATATTTATATATCATGAATCAACAATAAATATAATAACGACTGCAATCATTCAGCAACAAAAAAAAACTGAAAACGTCAGCCATTTCGGGATGATTCCTACTAGCCAGTATTTCTAGTGACGGTGCAGTGAGGTCCATATCCATGAGTTTCAGTGGTTTATGGTCAACATCCCGATGCGTAGTGGTCAAAACTCAGTTTGTTGCAAATTGAAACGTCTGCACTCAGCCAGTTTGCTACAAAATCAGGGCAGGTTTCATTGCTTAGATGCCAGTGTGTGTGAATTATATCCTCAATTTTGTTGGAGTAGGTAAATGCCTGTGTTTTGTGTTTATGATGTTTATGAGTTAGAGAGTCAATCCATGTCAAAGCCCGAATGTTTGTGGTACCTCCCTACATCCAAACAGCTTGCGACCTTCTCGGCGTGGTGCGGGAGGCGCCACTTGTGGAGACACGCGTCTGCACCCTAGCGGCCGCAACGCTGTTTTCTCCCTCAGAAACCCTGGTGTTTTCCCGCAAAAAATGAGGGCTTGGCCAAATTTGAAAAGCGAAAATCAGAGTTTTTCGCAGAACATTTCTGCTAATTGGACTCAGCACATCTCAGTACATCCATCAAAAATCAGTTTGGCCCGAAAAAACCCGGAGAGTTCACCATGAATTCGACAGACTTCGCTTCGCCAACAATGTCCCTTTTCGGCCAATTTCGTTGAAGGCAAATACCATCCTTTTCTGCTGACTACGCATAACCATATTATCTATATATATATATACTAGTACATGTTATAATTATATATAATGATAATAAATAAATATATATATATATACTATATCGGTAACACCTAAAGGCAGGTGAATTATCGTTGAAGTCTAATGATTCACCAAACTGAAACAGATGGATTTTGGGCCGGCTCAGTGCCGAGGTTTTTTCAGCTTTAGCTTCACAGGGCCCAAAAAAAAGGCCCAACATGTGCGTCCATTTTTGGGGGTATTTAAGATGATCCTAAAAAGGGATCATCGTGTTTACCAAGTTTCCGGGTGGAATCACCATGATTAGCCTCTGCTAAATGTTTACAGTTTCCGAACTGGAAAATCACCATGCTCATGGGTAAATCTATATTTCTATGGGTAAATCAATTTCTTGCTTCAATACCTATTCATCACCATAAAATATCATTAAATCACTTTCCAATGGTAACAGTCATTACCAGAGGCTATACCCTCTGGTAAACATAGAAAAAACCATGGAAAATCACCATGTTTAATGGGTAAATTACCAGAGGCTACTGCTACTGCAGCACTTTGTTCTTCGCCGCCTCTCCGCAAGGTCCGTATTCTTCTTCGAGACATAGGCGCTCCCCGCGGCGGACACGCCCTGTTTGGCGTGTCAGATTCCCCGGACGAGTTCACCGGAAAAAATATGGAAAAATGGGGTTAAAATATGGCAAATATATGGCATAATCATCGATAAAATGGGGACTTGTCCATTGTAATGTTGGATCGGAGGGTTACAAATTCCACAATTTTGATATCCGTAGCCTAGCCCTGGCAATTTCATACACTCGAAAGCTGGGAAAGCGAAGGAAAAACCGTAGACAAATGGGAGGTATCTTCGGTCCTCAAGATCTGTTCGCAAATGGTCTGCAAATCGAGTAGACTGCTTGGAGCACGATCCCATGGTATCCATAGTGGTTGCACGTCTCACATCAGAGAATAATCCTCCAATTACAAGTTCGAAACTTCTGATATGCAAAATCTAAAGGGTCTAAAGTCTAAAGATGCAAAGCTCATTGAAATTTCATCGAGGGCTGGAGAATTTGTGACTTTGTTTCTTGGGATCCATTTGCTCGGTGGTGAAGATTCCCAAATATGGGTACCCCTCTGGTAAACTAACTGTTTGCCATCTTTAGTATGTAAATCAACTAGAAATGGGCCATTTTCAATAGCTATGTTAAATTACCAGAGGGTAAATCACCATTGTTGCTTCAATCCAACATTCGCCTTCCCTTGAATCCACGTTTTGGGCTGCCAGCTCCCACTGAGACGTTGGCTATTTCTCATCCTGTTGTAGTCCTCAACTTCCCATGATTCCAGTCGCGACGCGATGCGAGGTCGCAAGTCATAAAAGAAATCCTTGGTTATCATCCACTTCTATATCCCCATATATCCCCATCAAAAATTTACCATATTTTACCACCATGATATCCACAGCAAAATGATACAAGCATTACCCTCTGGTTATTTAATATGGCCATGGAAAATTGCCCATAGAAATAGATGGTTTACCTAACGGTTTACCTTTTTTAAAACTGGGTGGATTTTCCATGGTTTTTTTGAGTCATAACCAGATGGTTTTTCCCACCATGTCACCATTTCTGTGTGTTTCCCGGAGCCCCATCGGCCCAAGATGGAGCCCCATTGGCCCCTTCCGGAGCCTTGGAAGCGCAAGGTGCGGAGGCTGACAATTGATCTCCTGGGCGATTGGAGAAAGTCAGCTGATTCGTTGATCACAACTCTAATATTGAGCCAATGAGGAGGAAAAAAAACTGAAACGAGTGGATTTTGAACAGTAACTCCCTTTCATAATATTGGAAAGTTAGGTCAAATTGATCAAATACGTTCAACAGCCGGGGTATCAATCTAGGCTATTGGAATAAATCAGTTGAAATGATGAAATGTAATTTTCAGACTTAGCTAGTGGATACACTCAATGTTCAGCTAATTATGAACAATGAAGAGGCAACTTGGAAAACTTGGGTATACCAACTATCTTCTCGAACCGACTTTTGGTAGTGGGTTCAAAGAAGCGAACGATATCAATAGACATTAGGGCCAGGCCCCCATGATGATCAAATAATTTTGGCCACTGCTCGTGAGCCACTAGATGAATTGCGAGGAAATGTCATCCAAATATGGACTTCCCAATTTCGGTAAGGTTGTGCCAGCAATTGCAATTCAGAATGGATACAAACGAAGCGCTTTGTGCTTGGCCAGGGGAAACGTCGGCAGCTTAAATTCCTCAACTCCCAAGTTTGCACGCCCGAGATCCTCGTTTAGTAAGCATCCACTGTACCAAGCAATTCTCTTGTTTTCTCTGTGCTTAGACTGAAGAATTCCAGTCCTGTTGCTTTTAATATGTTTTAATGTTCTTTGTTTATTGGTTTATTGGGTTTAATCCCATTGAGTGTTGCGTGCTGTGCTTCAACAACTGTGTCACTGTTGGTCACTGATCCCCAACTCCGAGGCGCGGATGTCGGACATCAGTTGCCTTGCAGCTGCCTGCAGATCTATTCACTACATCACTGGTTGGATGATTGGATGATTTAATGGGATCTTATAGTGATTTAATGGTGGTGGTGCAATAACATGTTTTAACCATCTTGAAAAATGATGGAGTTCGTCAGTTGGGATGATGACATTCCCAATATGATGGGAAAAAGAAAAAATGTTCCAAACCACCAACCAGATCATAATAGATCAGCATACGGTAATACCAATAGTTACCAACGGTTTACGAACTTAGCAAAGGATCTGCGGCAGCACCTTGTCTAAACATATTTCCCTATTATACCCCCCATCAACAACCCATTCCCCACAAAATGTCCCGCTGATATCATCAGTTTTACATGGTTAAAGCGGTTAAACTATGTTAAACCACCATCTTGAAGAGTTAAATGCCTACAAATTCCGTGTTTCACCATTTGTAACTGAGTTGTAATAGTCTTATTCCACCAGCCAGTTGCGATCGCAACTCATGGGGTACAGTTCACTCCCATCCCCCGTTCATATTCAACACCTCAATGGTAAAAAAAGGGGTGTTTAATAGGGGGGTGAGATTAATCATAGTGGTTATTCATATATATATATATTAATATTTACTGGTGTTGAATAGACCTGAGAAGGGGTGAACGAAAGCCAGCGCTTGCTTTTTGACTCGCGCGGGGGCGCGTGAAACTCCACCTCATCCATATGGCATGGCTCAAACATGAAGCGCCCCAACATCAACAATTGCTATCGGGTCATAATTTTCCAATCATTAAATGGACCTTTTTAGGGTAAACTCCACGATTTTGTAACTTCTATATCCAAATATGTTTCCTACAATGTACTGCGGCATTGTGAAAAGTTCTATCTCAAGTTCCGTAAATCCGCCTTTGGTTGCTCATTTATCTTAAAACAGCGCAAGTTTGCTCCCACCTATTGTAGATAAATAATACCCGCTTTTTTGTGTGAACAGTGGTCATGTGACCTCTCACAGTCTAAATTGTTTTCTCCCCAGAATCGTGGTCCATGCTTCTCCGCGAAGTTCCGCAACATTTTGGCCGTACGGTGAGAAATCAAAACATAGCTCTACTCGCAAAATGGGCAGTGCAAACCCAAGACAATATTATAACATACGTAAGAAAGGGTATAAGAACGAATGAAAATCGAGGAAAACAATGCAAAACCCACGGGAAATATAGAACAGTGGCGAACACGCAGTCCAAATCAAAAGTATATATATTTAGGCCATTTACAGACCTGGGTACCCCCCCCACCCCCCAAGGGTCTGGAAAATAGATATTTTACAGGAAATGTCGCGGAATAGCATCATCCCTGACATCGATAGAGATAATTGTTTGGCATCCCGGAAAATCTTCTCAGCTATCACACTCGCCAAACATCCCTTTTAAAAGGCACACATACTATCACGGACGTACAGATGCATATCATTCCCGTCATTGCCATTAGAAGATTCAAATTCTTTCTCGATGTTTTAGTACAAGATTCACTTTTAGTTCTGTTTCAGCCTTCTCAGTACGGCCTCTTACAATGATATTACAGCATTTGTCTCCTAACCTAGGTGGCTCCTGGGCGCAATCTTCATTCCAATGCTTTGTGACAATAACCAGAGGCCTGGAGCCTATGCATCACTTGACAGTCGACTCAGTTCTAAACCGGAAAGACTATTCCTTCCGTTTACCAGTAGATCGTTTTTGTAGTTCTTATCACAAAACTACCAGAATCAGGGAGGCACCAAAAAACGTCAAACAGCTTTAAGCATTATAAATACTCTAATCTGCAGATTGTATTTATTTTTCTTACTCTGTGAACGAAATCACACTTTTCTAACTTCACACAGATTACCATGAAACCAATTTTCCCATGCAACTCCTAAAATCTTACAACTCATACATCTTTTTTCCTATACCATCCGCATCTTGCTCCAAGGTTTCATGGCAATGTCTTGTACGCGAGTCAGCCACTATTTCCTATCACCAAACTACATTGCTCATCATCTAACATTATCTACAGAAACCAAATCGGATTTCCTGCTCAACGTTTCCGCTCGTTAACATTGTCTTGGTTTTCACTATATGTTTAAAGCATTTTTAGTTATAACACTTTCCTTGGTTTTCACTGTATTTTTCTAACATGTTACATGCCTCCTAGCATGTTCACGCGTGTCCTCCATGTTGTACTGTTTTCTACATCGTTTCCTCTAGTTGTTACAAGCATTTCCTAGCTTGTACACCGTTTTCCTAATATTGTCACAACTTTTCTTCCAGTTTCCACTGCTTTTTCTACCATTTCCTGTGGTTACTTTCTTCTCTTTTGTAGATTTTCACTGTGTTTTATCCAGTTTTTTTAATTACATGCTTCCTACCATTTTCACTGCTTTCCTCTATGGCTTTTTGTACCATTTCCTCTCGCTTCCTGCATTTCATGCATTTTCAATATATTTTTCCAAGAGTTTTACCCGTCTCCTTCAGTTTCCGATCGTTTTTGCACCATTTCCTCTGGTTGTTATCGCATTTTCCTGCACTTTCACTGTATTTTTCCAGCATGTTTACTGCATCGTCATAGTTTGTTCCTAGCAGTCGCTCCGGTTTCCTCCATGTTCCAACAAATTTTGCACCCTTTATTCTGGTTGTTATCACATTTTCCTGCTAGGTTGTTATCACATTTTCCTTCACTGTATCTTTCCAGCATTTTCCAGTGGATTTTGCACGATTTCCTCTGATTGTTATCATGTTTTCCTGCAGTTTCTATATCCTCTTCGTCGGTTTTCAATCTATTCATGCATTTTTAATCTATTTTTCCAAGATTTTTACCCGTCTCCTTTTTGCACCATTTCCTCTGGTTTGCTGCATTTTCAATGTATTTTTCCAAGAGTTTTACCCGTCTCCTTGATTTTTCCGATCGTTTTTGCACCATTTCCTCTGGTTGTTATCGCATTTTCCTGCACTTTCACTGTCTTTTTCCAACATGTTTACTGCATCGTCATAGTTTGTTCCTAGCAGTCACTCCGGTTTCCTCCATGTTCCAACAGATTTTGCATGGTTTGTTCCTAGCATTTTCCTCTGATCGTTATCATGTTTTCCTCAAGTTTCATTGTATTTTCGAATACATCCTCTTCGTGGGTTTTCAATATGTTTTGTCCAGCATTTTTTTACTACATGTTTCCTATCATTTTCACCTCTTTCCTCCATAGGTTTTTGCACCATTTCCTCTGGTTTCCTGCATTTTCATACCTTTTCAATATTAATATTAATCCAGGAGTTTTACCTGACTCCTTCATTTTCCGATCCTTTTTGCACCATTTCCTCTCGTTGTTATCACATTTTCCTGCACTTTCACTGTATTTTTCCAGCGTGTTTACTGCATCGTCATGGTTTACGCCTAGCATTCGCTCCGGTTTCCTCCATTTTCCAAGGGATTTTCCATGGTTTGTTCCTAGCATTCGCTCCGTTTTCGTCCGTTTTCCAGGGGATTTTGTACGATTTCCTCTGATCGTTATCATGTTTTCCTGCAGTTTCATTGTATTTTCCAATACATCCTCATGGTCTCTCCGGCCACCAAAAAGGCGGACCTAGGGGGAATCGATACCCCACCGTCAGCAAATTACCTAGTGGTACATAATCCAGCAAAATGCTCCGTTTTCTGGCGCTCAACACAGGGGCACGGCGAGATTTCGTTCCCTTTCGGCAACCCCCCCCCCCACACCCCCTATTCTCACTTCGTTCGCAAACAGCAACTAGCCAGCTAGCTGGCTTTCGTAATTTTAATAGGGTGAATATGAAAATCAGTGGTTTGTTTCACCATTGTAGGGGATCTCAACCCCAAAAAATCCAACAGCCTCCGTGGACACCGACTCCCGTCACGCTGCTCACAGCGGCGCACGATCCTCGGGTCGGAATTCTTTTCAGGGCCCTACAAGGCGGCTCTATGTACAAAGTGGTGCCCCCCCCCAGTGATGTTTGTTGGTTTATAAACCACATTAAGTATAGATATATCTACAATAAACCATAGTGAAATTGGAGTTATTTGCACCAACTTAGCCAAGAATTATGGGATACCGTTACGGGTTGGATGTAACTGGATACTATATGAATAATTGAATAGGATACTATATGATACTATGGGAACATGATTCGATAATTATGGCAATCATAGGGGTTACTGTTTTTGCGACATATGGGCACCCATATGCCATGCCATGATCGAAAATTTTGGAGACTATGGCATAGTGGCAATAGATGTGGCATCACGTGATGGTTTCCCACATCCTCTACTTCCCATCCCCATGTAGCTCTCAAAATTGCTCCCATGTTCACCCACACCCATCTTTTCCCTATGACTAATTCTTTGGGTAATTTTGAGGTCCATTCCAAGACAACCCCATGAAATATTCCATGATATTGCTGTGATAATCCCAGTCTACCCTATCACCCTACAGTAACCATTGTTTCGTTCACTGGAACACCGTTCCACAGTTCCCGGTTCCACCGCGCTCGAGGTGCCACAGGAAATGCTCCTCGCGTGGTCCTTCAGCACCACTGCGGCCCACGGCAAACCATTCGCTGTGCATCATCAAAGCTTGCATTCCCACCTGTCCGGTCCCGAGGGTCCCCACGGTCCCCAGGGTCCCCAGGGTCCCCAGGGTCCCCAGGGCTGTCTGTGGTTCATTCAGTTTAGATCAGTGCACTGACATTTGGGATGGAGATCTGTCAAGTACATGATAGTAAACAGAGCTATCATATGGTAGTTGACAGAACCTTAAGAATCCGTTCAGTTTATGGGCGGATGGATTTTTGAAAAGTGCTAACCCAGTAAAATGAATGAAATGATATTAGCCCAGCTTTGCAAGCCAGTAGGACGGTTTCAGATTGCTAAGGGACACATCTGGCAACTGGGAAAGAAGGGGAAGCCGATTGGAAGCCATTCTTCGGTGGAGTGGTGGGAGAGTCGAAGGCAAGGGGAGAACAATTGGGATACAACTGGGAATTGGGTGACCAGTGGAAGACAACTAAAAAGAAGTGGAACCTTGGAGGCAACTGGGAGACAACATCTCGGAAACTACATCTGGGAGACGGGCAACTGGGAGTGGTGGAGACAACACCTAGTTCCAAGGCCTGCCGGAACCCTGCGCATACATGGAAGGAGGAGGAACGCGACACCCCGTGCCTCTAGAGATTGAAACCCAACAGCTTCCTGCTGCTGGGAATGAAACAATGTAACATGACCTGAATGAGTCGAAGCCATTACCTTCTAGTCACTCTAGTCCATCATGCTGGAATACCATGAATCCATCCACTTTATGCTCCAAAATGGAAACGAAAACTCCGAGCAGGACTGGATTGATTTGAGATGATTTGAGTATCTCAAGTCCAGGTATTTTACTGTACTAAATTATAGTGACTTATAAGCTATGAGTTGATCCTGTTCTACCTTTTTCAGGGTGGTTACTATGTCATTACGAACTGTCAATCAGTCGACACATAGAACCCACTTACGAACTGGGATGCAGTGGTCCACATGATCCACGTATCCACGACCTTGCTGGGATGATAACTGACAGAACTACTCCAGAACTGACAGCATTCCCAGTTTCATTGAAGTTAAGTAACTTAAGTGGTTTTCGAATCTGGGATTTTTGTCAAAAAAGACACCTGGCTACCTGTGACTTGGTCGATCTTCTGTGTTATCGAAATTTATCGAAAACAGGGGGCCCTCCTGGGCTCTCCATTTGGAGGGACTTTTTGTCGTCGAAAAACGGTGCCGTTTTCCCAGTAACTGGGATGACCTGGGATGAGACCATGCTTTCGGGCCTAGGGATCTTCCTGGACGATCCTGGAAGAACGATCCACCAATGATCCCCGGGGGTCCGGGTCAATTCCCAGCGCTTTTTCGGGAAGTTGTGACCGGAAACAAATCCGGAGGGATCCGGAGGGATCCGGAGGTTGCTGGGGCCTCACCTTCCTGGGGATCACATGGCGCCCATTTTCTCTGTGGAATCCTTGGCCGTTACAATGGGAATCCTGGGAATCCTTGGCGCCATTTAATCCCTGTGGATTGATGATGACCATCTCCAGAACTATGGTAAAACTCTGCTGGTTGGTGGTATATTTACCTATCCCTCTGAAAAATCTACGCGAAAGTCACTTGGGAGGATTATTTTTATTCCAATCTCCCAATATGGAAAGTCATAATCCAGCCATGTTCCAGTCACCACCAGCGTTCTGGGTCCGATGGCATCGCCTGTGCCGCTGCGAGCAAAAACGCTGCCGCAGGCGTAGGACTGGAGCCGGTGACCAGCGGATCGCCACCGCCTGGTGGGGCCCATCCTATGAAACACGCCCGGTCATGCTGGGTGCTGTGTAAATGGCCTACATCCACCATGGTTTCTGTGGGGTTTTTATAGAAAAGGATGGGATAGTTCTCTCATCGAAAATTTTATCATTACTTTGAATATCTACACATGGGAGGGGATGTCTTCAAGATGATTCACACCAAGATTTTCCATGGCTCAGATCCTTTGAGAAAAGTCGCAATTCGTGGCCAAAGTGGCATACCTAGCCCTAGGCTAACAGTTTGCATGACCACTTTCGCCGCAACATGTTGATCTTCCTCCATTTTATGGCAAAAGTGATCCAGTAACCCACATTTCACCAAGGTGTTCCAAGGGAAACACCAAAAGCTTGTGCTGAGCATGGCACTAGGGAAGAAGATGAAGAGCAGAATAGCGCCCGCAGAGCATAATATCCTCAAAGAATCTGGGCGACCACACCTTGCCTCTCAGTATTGTTAAGGGAAAATGTACAGAAACCCCCATATTTGGGGGTAAAAGCCAGGGCCTTGTAGGGTTTTCTCTTCAACCAATCCATTGATTGCCGGTCACGTCGTTTCATCCAGTTTTTGATTCGCAGCGAGGGCACAATGACGAGCTACTCACACTGGTAGGGGAGTCTGTCAACTATGATGACAATGAGTCTGATCATTGTATCTATCAACTAATCTTTGAGGCAAACCCAATAGACATAACAAATATAAGCAACACCCCTCTTGGGTATGGTTTATCATACCGCAGAATGAAACATTGGTAACCGGGTTGGGGTATTCGCTTTGTCATTCGGGAACCCAGGAGCACAGCGATGCGCACGGCCATCCGAAGGCAACAGTTTCGGGAGCGCAGCTTTTGCATTCCAAGCCTCGAGGTGCGGTCCAGGGCATGGCACGGTCAAATCACGCTCAAATCTCCCGGTGAAGTCACATCGGAACATGGTGCTCATGAGGAAAAACCTTTAAATCAATGGATTGGTTTAAGGGAAAATCTACAGGAAAGCCCCATACTTAATGGGAAAATCTATGGTTTCCGGTAAATTTTCCCTTAGACTCTTAGACCAATCCAATGATTAAAAGGGAGGAAATCTCGAGAAAATATGGAGAATCCACCCGTGTTTTGACCAACAAATTGGTTGGAAACATGACTGACCCATCTGACCCGCTGGGCGACTTGGGCCAAACCAAAAGGACCCCCCGTTCTACATGGCTGGCTTTTTAAAAAGGATGTCTAGTCTAGATGATTTTCCTCTTGAACATGGTGATGTCCTGGGCAGTCATGTCAGTTTTCCAAAGATTGCAGCAATACCATATATAATACAGACATCTACAGACAATATTATATACTTGAGTCACTTGAGAGTACTACTGCCGATTTTTTGGGTCACAATTTCTTTGGACGCCGTAATGTAAGATCTCATCTCCATCGGGGCACAAGCAATTGCAGCAATACTTCGCCCGCTCCTCGGAAGCAAAGGCAAAAAATCGCCGTCTTCGTGGCTCCCAATGCACTGAAAAAGAATTCAAAAAAGGGACCTATTTCCATTCGCCGATTTGGGAATTGCCGATTTGGGATCACTCGTCTCCACTCGCCGAGGGTCTCGTTGGAAGAGCAGATCGGATTCCATTTCCAGGCGGCCATACTCGTTGCTGTAAATCGCAATGATCATATTCAGGATCCTGGGACTCGAAGCAACCCCATGATGGCCGGGTCAGCATGTAACAAAACTGCTCTGGGAGGGGTTCTACATGTTCTACTAGACCCTGTGGTAAACTTGAAGCAAACATGGCAACGACCGTTTTCCACCCCACCCGGTAAGAGGTTCATTTTCTGAAAGGGTGTGATTAACGGGAAGATGGACACAAAAATCAAACCCTACATTTACCAAGTAAAAAAAACCCAACACCCCAAGTTTCAATGTTGAACAGAAGTCTATATACAGTACAAGTAGCTTCCTCTGCGTTCAGGGGTTGATCTTTTTGTCCACCGGGGGTGGATTTCATCGTCCATCTATGGCAGTTACACCACGTTACACCCAATGGCTGGCCGTTTCAATGGAGAACTGCTTGGTGGTTTTAACGTTTTAACCATCTTGAAAAATATAAAAAGTTCGTCAGTGGGAAGGATATTATCCCAGATATGAAATGGAAAATAAAAAAATGTTCCAAACCACCAACCAGCATATATATATAATTATATATATATATGAAAGTCTCCATGGACATGTTGCCACCGCCTACGTGCAACCAACCCCTCTAAAATCGCGGCGTTTGCCGCACCGCCCAGCTGCACGATGAAGGTCACCGTGCCCAAAATGGCCATCACGGTGAGCAGTTGCTGCAACACCTCTCGGAAAGGCATGGCAAATCTATGGGCCGAAGAAAATTTGACCTTACCCTCTGATAAACTAATCTAAACTAACAGTTTGCGACATAGAAGCCATGGCCCAGTCGAAATAGTTGATTTACCCATAAAAAACGATGTTTTTCCATAGTTGTGTTTGTTTGCCAGAGGGTAAACCAAATGCTTGGGGAATGTTGGGGACCTGTGATTTTCCAATAATCTGAATTCAGATGACGCAGATGTTTAGTGTTAAGTCTGGATGAAACCAATGGGATGTTTGATTGGGGTGGTACCGTTTGAGTAGCCAATATGACTATTTTGGGGAAAACCCTAACATGTCAACATTTGCAATTTTGAACTGAGTTCGTTTACCATGAAACTTCCCCGTTTTCCTCATATCGGGATTTCGTTCATCAAGCCCCTAGCTTTTCATAGCGAAAACATGCGAAAACTACTATTTCTTCACAAAGAAATCACACTTGCCCATGGTCAAAACTCACTCTATATTCATATGAGGCTTTCCAAAAATGGGGCTGCCCCCAATAGCTGGATGGTTTAGTTCATTTTTAAAGTCCGAAAATCACATGAATTTTACAAAAACTGGGGTACCCCCATGACTTAGGAAACCTCCATTAGTCGCCCCAACCGTGGCCCCCAAGGCGCATCGATGTCGTCCACGAAGCCACCTCAAAACGTGGTGAATCATCTACCGAAACATGCGGCAAGATGTGAAAGATCACCACTATCACTAGCAGATTTGACTTGACGTAACCACCATTGACCTTAAGATGAACTTAGATGAACTGGCAATAAGATGTCTAAGGCAGAAATATTGGAATTGAAGAAGCACACATTGGTGATTTTCAGTGATGGTCATTTAACCCAACCCACGCCATTGGATACACTTAAGATATGCCTGCAACGCCAGTTGAGTTAGTTGGGTTGTCCCCGGTGAAGATGAATCTTTGACCAGTCTCCCCATGTCTCACTGATTATGGAGATGGCACCATGGCTTCATGGGCTGACTTTTTTCGGATTTTGGGAGTGGGATGGAGTGGGTCAAATCATCACCGATTCAGGTGGCCCACCTGCGCCACACAGGCATCCCTTGCGCGTCACACCGACGCAAAGGTCCAAGTCAGGGCAGGAGGCTCGCACGGGAGTGATCCACAAGTCTGGCGACAACTGGCCTTCTAAGGCGGTCCATGCAAAATGAAAGTCCTTTGGCTTCAGAGGCAATGCCGTGCCGCGTTTGGCCTGTAGCAGCTGCCAAGAAGCATTGAAGGCATCCAAATCAGAGCTGACGTTCTGCCATGGCTGCAATGGGCCCAGGAATTCGGGATCAATCAAACGGGATCGTCCTCGAAAGGGTCCTGGCTGATTGAAGACATCCCAGAAATGAGGCCTGCCCTGATTTGTAGAAAATCCCACGTTCAGCCCCAGTGACCAAAGCAGAAGCCAGCCATTTTTTTGGCACCAACTTCTGACAGCAACACCGCGAGCGGTGCCAAAAAGGCTTGGAAAATCAGCAATCACAAACTTCACATCGGAAAATGTCACCTCTGCTGTTGGCAAAACCTCGAAGTATCTGACAAAGTCCTCCCCCACCATCGATGTGGACGCATCCTCGCCCGCCAACAGCCGTGCCAGGGGCCGCAGAAAGGCTGCAGGGCTCGACCAGTATGCTTCGTTGATACTGAAAAGATGGTCCAAAGCTTGGAATGTCCCTAGACCCTGATGACCTGGAAAGGCACTGCAGTTGTGCGCATAGCTGGGCTTGGGTGGGCTGTAGCTACCATGGCACCACCCAGCCCAGCTTCCGGAGTCCAGGGGTGAAAGGATGCTTGTGGCATGTGCGAAGCTGGGCTTGAGAACCACCGAGACGTCCCCATAGAGTGGGGAACCCGCATCGGAACGCAGGGAGTTCAACAAGAAGTAAGCACTGCGTTCTCTTGCCTCCATACTGTTTGGATGGGCAGGCTCCTTGAAAGGTTTGAAGCCAAAGAATGAGGTTTCCAACCAATCGAAGCCATGTGTGTAGTTGTTCACCACATCGTTTCTGACCCACACCTCCCACAGGTTCTCATAGTGATCAACCTGCTCCGCCTCCAACAACGAGAAGGAAAAGAAGGATCCGTTCACCTCGCTGCTAAAACCTGACACGACCTCGGCAGCCATCACTGCCTTTCTCAGCTCCAAAACCAGAGCTTCGGCGGGTAACTGAGCCACCTCCTTGCAGCATCTGGCTAGAAGGCCGCGAACGTCTGCACGGTCTAAACGATCCAGCAGCTGGGGTCCAAACTCTTTGGACATCCAATGGGCTGTGTGGTTCACCTGGTGAAGAAGCTGTCGTTGCCAGTCGGTTTGTACCAGTGCAAGGCACTGGAATGAGGTAAAGATGCTCCACAATGGCCAGCGGGCAGCAAATCGCAGAGTCATCATGGCGGATGAAAGCTAGAAACTCTTCAGCCTAACAACTCCTGACCTCTTTCATATCCTTTACTCACAACATTTACAGCTTGTTTTGCTGGCAATGAAAAAATGCCAAGAGCATTGGCAAAACAGCCTTGAGATGCAACAAAACACTGTACTAAGCGGTACACTCAGTAAACACTTGCCGGATGTGAACTCACACTACCTGAGCTCGACTCTTGAGCCGAGCGCCAAATCTTGCAGCAGAAGGCTCTGACCCCATAGCTTTCGCCAGCGATTTTGGCTGGGAAAAAAAAACATGCAGCTCTGTTGGACGTTTTGGGTACCGTAAAACTGAGGAGATTTGTTTTGCAGCAAAAAACTGCCCATCCCCATCCTCAAGGTCTCAAGATGTCTCAAGGGGGGCCCACTAAATGTTCAGGAAAAAAGACCGCCAAACGGATGGTTAAACATGATTAAAGAAAGATAAAGAAAACTCATCTGACCTTGGATGTTGTCCAGTTTCCTCAGATAATGACAATACTATGTGGATAGAAACGGATGAAACCCAGTTTCATCTTCAACCCATCTCCCCATCTCCAGCTTCAGCCCAGATGCTTTCCCCTCTCCAACTCCCTTCGATGGCGAAGCCCATGTTGTCCAGGCCCGCTCCGTCGCCAAAGATCAGGCCGCGGTATAAGGACCTGACAGGTCGCCGGCGCTGCACCAGAAATTCATGGACCTGTGGGAGTCCAAAAAAATCATGGTGCCATATGGTGCCCCAAAAAAGTGATAGAAATCGTTGGGTCAAAACTTCCAAAGTCAATTTGTTTGATACGAGTTCGATGGAGTAAGGAACTCATCTGTGAATACTGGTTTGTCTACTCTTGCTTGCCGTTGGGATAAAGATCCTATAAATAGGAGGGGAAAGGATGTCCATGTGAGGCATGGCCATATAAGGATCTATATGGGGATGGGTCAAAACCCTAATACCTAGTGAGCCCCAAAATAGCTGGGATTTATAGATGTTCATCCCACTCAAATTGATAATGATAGGTACTGACCCATACCCATATAAGGATATATAAGGATATCCCCGTTCAGATTGGACCTGAAGGGTTGGGAGCCCCATTTTGTAACTACAGAATGGCGTCCCCGAGGTGCCCTTCTTACAAGTTGGCAGAACCCAACGTTCACCGAGGAAGGTTTTTGTTACAAAATGGCAGTCCAAGCCGACCCCTAGTCACAAGATGGTACCCCAATTTTGCTCGACTCGCATCCGCTCGCATCCGTTCGCTCGATTTGCCCTTTTCAGAATGGTGGGGACTGGGGGTGGCTATACTCGCACTATCCTAGGATCCCTAGGCAGTAACCTGCAACTGCCCGGCCAACCCGAGTCGCGGTTCATTTTTCCCGTTCTTTTGCGTTCATCAGTCTGTTTTGGCATGATGCTGTATGAGTGGCCAAAATAAACATTGAATACAACGTACCAATATGTCGAAGAGATATTTTCCAACAGTTGGATGTCATAATCAAAAAATATAAGTATCGATATATATATATATGATATATATATAATATATATATATATGTATAATATAATATATATATAATATAGATATAGATATATTAAATTCTACATTTATGCACAAAACTTGTTTCACAAAATTCTACATTTGATTCTTCTTCCTCTTCTTCCATGAGCAATGGAGTCCAAGACCGCGCTCAATGTGAAATACATAAACTCACATGCATGTCGGGACGCCAACTGAAGCAAGCACAGCCACCAAAGCAAATAAAAAAGAATAAAACTAAATAAAATGAAAAATGGATGTGTCTTCTGGTCATTCTATCCAACTTCCATCCAGATTGTGGGGCCTATAGTTGAGCATTCTTCATCTACGCTTTGAATCCATCCAATTTGTAGTGGTTATTGATTAGCCCTCCAGACTCCGACAGAATGGTCGGGACTGGAGGGTAACAAACTCGCACTTCCAATGCAAAATTCCGGTACCAGGGGGGGTCCACTTACAAGATGGCAGAACCCAGGGTCAAAATTTTGCACAAAATGGTAACCAAAAACCATTCTGTAACGGCCCTAACACCTCAAATTTAGTAACAAAAAACTCAACGGGAATATAGGGATATATAAGGATATATAAGGAGATATAAGGAGATATAAGGATATATAAGGATATATAAGGATATACTAAACGGAAGCCATCGTCGGCTAGACCATGCTAGGCCTATCATAAGGCACCGAGGCAAGGCCTATTCGAGGCAAGTGACCAACTCACCACCGTGATGGCGCCCTTGCGGTCCAACATCACAGCAGTGACCACGAAGGCCAGGAAGAATAGGAAAGCCACCAGGAACCTAAGGCACCCCCCTGGACGCTAAGCTGCGGCGCTAATCCAACGGAAAAGGGAAAGCCAGGTTTTGTGATAAATGGATGAAAAGTGATGAGAAAAGGTAATCCTGGATGGTAAAACGGCCAAGAAATCGAGATTTATTCATGGTAGAAACTCCTCTCCAGAAATTTGGGACTTACCAGGTTCTAGATCTTACAAAGCACCTGGCAAGGGGGAACCTTTCGAATAACGCCACTCTCCAGCATGGAAGGCCATGGAAGTGGAAGGTGTTCAAGGCATATATAGCCACTGAATCTGTAAGAATTGGACATGACCGGAAAATCCCTTTTGGTTCAGGCCCCCCACAGCGAGTTTAATCGTCAACGTCCTGTAAAATTTTGTGACTTCGGTGTCCTAACCCTGGATGTGTGGAGAACCGCAAGGTTTTATCCAATTTTTCAAGGGAATGTTTACTGGAAGACCCTATGCGTGATGGTAAAGAATGGTAAAAGACATGTACAAATCGTGGTTTCCTGCAATTTTATTCAATTGTTCCATGCAACAAATCCGACAATATCGAAGCAACTTAGTCTCCACTTCCCAGGATGCACAGGGTCAAAGGCCCCTGGCCACGTACGTTGGCCGCAGCGACCAAGTAACATCTCACGCATCGCGCCGCTAACCAACGTCTTCAGCAGCACCAAAATCTTCTTCCTCAGCAAATTCCAAATTCCAAGGGCAGTTGGGCGAATTGGGCGAATAAATATTTATCAAATACTATCATATACTATCATATACTATCATATACTATCATATACTATCCGATACACTATATATACTATCAGATACACTATATATACTATCAGATGCACAATCATATACACTATCATATACACTATCATATACTATCTCAAATACTATCTCAAATACTCTCATAGATGCTATAAAATGTACTATCATATACTATCATGTCTACTATCATACATACACTCATATATACTATCATATATACTATCATATATACGATCATATATACGATCATAATCTATCATATCTACTATCATATATACTATCATATATACTATCATATATACTATCATATATACGATCATATATACGATCATAATCTATCATATCTACTATCATATATACTATCCTATACTATCCTATGCTATCATATAAACTATCAAATACTATCATATATATACTATCATATTTACTATCATGACTATCATACTTACTATCATATACTATCATATGCTATCATATATACTATCAGATACACTATCATATACACTATCATATACACTATCATATACACTATCAAATATACTATCATATGTACTATCATATACACTATCATATACACTATCATATATACTATCATATGTACTTTCATTTACTTTCATTTACTATCATATTTACTTTCTTATATAATATCATATTTAACAAATTATCACGATGCGAGTTTTATGCTGCAAATCATGGATTCAAATCATCCAGGCCACCCGCCAAAGGCACTCACCCGCAGCATGTAGATCAACTTGACCTGGGCACCACTGGAGGACTGGAGGACCAAGGGGACGTTCACTAGAGGGGACTTGGGATGACGATCCTAAGAAGATTGTCACTGGATTGGTTTAGGGGCAAAATTACAGGAAACCCCTATATATATTTTGTGTGAAAATCTAAGGTTTCCTGTAGATTTTGCTCAATTATTATCGCTACCAATCTCCGTTCCAACCCATTATTTGCGTAGATTCTTCTCCCCAAAATCTTACATGCAGCCATGGAGCCCCAAAAAAGCCAATCTGTCAAACAGCAAATCCATCAAGGACACCAGTCTAAGCAAGTTTTCATCACGATAGTGTTTTATAGTGTTACAGATAACAATCCAATACTTAAGAATAGCAATAGATCCAATACTTAACAATAGCAATAGCCAATGGATTGGTCAAAGTGAAAATCTACAAATCTTAGATTTCCTCATCAAATATAGGCGGCCTTTCCTGTAAACTTTCAACTGCCCGGTTGCAGAATGCATAAAAAAGCACACCGCCAACAAAGCCTGTCGGCCAGTGGCACAGTGGGTCAAGTCAGCTGCCGAAGCACCCATTGAACTACACTGCCCTGCGCTACATTACATGTAGATAAATACATGCGGTATGTGTACCGTGTACATATAGGCATGCAAGATAGCGAGAGAGACAGGGTGTGCCCATGTATTATGTGCGTGTATGATATCTCTGCGCATAGACCGCACAATGGTCAAGGAACAAATCACTTCTGTGAGTTAGGTAGATTACGGGACTCGAGGAAACAGTAGCCAGCATCGAACAACTACAATAACTAGAATACAAGAGTAAAACCAAAACAATTGCCTAGCTGACTCCTGACATCTCCTGACAAAACCAGCACCTCGAAAATCCTCCACGCACATCGCCTTGATCCAATTTTGGAACCCCCCACAGCCCAAGGTTGGCTTCCGGCGCCTGAGTGGTGTCTGGCATCTCACTTTCGCAGTTCCTGGTGCACCGCACGGAGAGGAGGAAGATGGCTTTCAGCAAGCACAGAAACCTCAGCCGTTGCTTCTGATCCAACCGTAGCCCTAGATGCCCTGCTCCTCCAACTAAAAAAAAAGTAGCGGGATAGGATATGTTCCACATCTTTGGCCCAAAATCGACCCATCAAACTACCAAGCCTTACCCAAAAAATGCCTCCTACCTACCTGATCACCACTGGCAAACTTCACTCAGTGGCGTTAAAATGTTGGTAAGTTGGTCTGTTGGACAAGCACAACTTCGACCGGGAGGGGCCAGGTAGATCCAGGTAGATGATCGGTAGATGTGGGTTGCTTGTCCCTATGCAATGGCTGATGACTTGGATTGTCAGGCGACAGCTCCGGCATGTTGGTGTTGTGGCTAATGTCGCAGATCTTCATGGGGTGCCACAAGGAATGCAGCCCGGAACGCCTTGGATCACGGCGCCAGGCTTTGGGCATACCATTCTTAAAGGGTCCATTTTCCATGGCTATGTCACTATGTCAAGTTACCAGAGAGTAATGTTGATTTGAAAATTTTCAATGCGGCACCTACCTTTCCCGAATCTCACCCACCAAGAAGTAGCAGCTCCACCACTGAGGAATATGTTTCCCAGAGTTGCCAGCTGCGGGAAATCCTATCTTTGGATCCAAAAAGAAACATATAAACCATATCATCTGTGCAACCTAATAATAAACCTACCATTTGGGGATGGTTCATACCACCTGTTTGTCGTCATTTCGAGGGTTGTTTATTGTTGGGTTTACCATAGTAAAAGTAAAATAAACACTGCGGTAAACCCAATCATAGGGCATAGCCCGGTATAGTATACTCAATGCCCTAAACCTCTATTGATTATGGCGTTGGGCTTAACACATCATTACACTATGAACAACTATGAACATGAATCATTATGAACCATTATCAATCACTAACCAGTGTTGGTTATAAACAACTATTAACCAGTATTCACCATCATTAACCAGTTATTGACCATTATTAATGAGTATTAAGCACTATTCATGGGTTAATAACTGGTTAATGGTTGTTTATAACAAATATTGTTAATTAATTGGTTAATCCTGAACCAGTTATTAACCAATATTTCAGTTATAACAATTTTTTATTAACCCTTATTCTCCATCATGATTCATTGGGTCCATCATTTCCCAGGGTGAAGTCCATCGTCCAAGGTGCAGTTCGTGTCCGCGGCCCAACGTTCCGTTGATCGTCGAGTTCTTCTTGTGACTGCGACACAGGAAGACACAGCGAGTGATGAAGCTGCCATTTTTTGAGCATAATTATGTGTAGATGTGCAGGTGTCGGTACGTGTATGTATATTTATATATATATTACAATATTACATTATTTGAAAATACATTATCTTATTTTAATATATATATATATATTATTTCTACTGTTGTTACTATTATTATTGTAAAATATATTGTATTTTCATATAATATACTTTATTATTAAAATTTGCATATTATATTGTATATTAAAAATCTATAATATAATATATATTTATATATACATATATTATACTAAATAAAAAGGTAATATACATTATATCATCATTTAATATTACAAACATATATATAATATATAATTAAAATATATATGTATGCTATATTATTATAATATATATGTATGCTATATTATTATAATATATATGTATGTTCTATTATTATAATATTAGCATTTATTTTTTGAATAAAATATATAACAATAGAGAATCATATATTTAATCATTATAAAATACCTCTATTGTTATATAATATATTAAATGAAATAATATATCATATTTATTTTAAATATATTGAATTGTTATGTTGTTTATACAATAGGTTATAGTATGAAACAATACATATTTTATTATGATTATCGTATATTTTATTCTTATATAATATACGATATGTTTATATAATATATTATGTTATTAGATAATATATTATACTGTCTAAAAATATTTATTATTATATTGTTTTATAATATGTTGTTGTATTTTATTTTATATAATATGTTGTATTATGATACAGTATATTGTATCTTATTATTATATAATATATTGTGTTATTGTATAATATATCATATTATGATATAATATATTATTTTATCATATTCTGATAGAACAAATTATTTTATTGTACAATAATTTTATCTGATTTTTGAAATTAATATTTAATATATTGTATTATAATATAATATATCATCTTAACACAAACATACTATAATACAATCAAAAAATAAATTAACATATTATTTTATAATATTCTTAAACACTGTATTATTTTAAGATATAACATATTATAGTATTATATGTTATACTATTGCGTAATATATATATATATGTGTTTGCATACGTGAATACATACTTCTGACTGTAACCGCGCTTGGAAGGTCAACCCCTCCATTTCAGGACTCCACACTTCCATGGGCCTGGCTGCCAAGTATGGGACTTTGAGGGCCAAGTCATCCCATGCGTGTATATCTTTATATATAGCAACCCCGCTCAAAAAAAAGATAGAACCGTGTTCGATAATGTTTCCAGAAAGTCCATGTTATTTTTTCAGAATGTGATTTTTCCCAATAATTCCCAACAACCTTTAGAAGTTGCTATACCCATATGCCTCAACCACTTTCGGCAGAGCGAGAACAGCCACCAGCCGATGTTCGTCAAGTCACCTGGGGCAGTGCTTCTCGTTTTCGCATCCCTGTTGGGTTCTTGATGAAAATGATGAAAAATGTCATATGGAGCTGTGGCATTACATGTATAGCTATATCTTTATCTGCAAATAGATACATATACGTACATATATATATATAAAAACATGTATATTTATGTGTGTGATATATATATATGTGTGTGTGCGTATGTGTGTGTATGTGTGTGTATGTGTGTGTGTGTGTATGTGTGTGTATGTGTGTGTGTGCGTGTATGCATGCATGCATGCATGCATGCATGTATGTCTGTGTGTGTATGTCTATGTCTATGTCTATGTATATGTATATGTATATGTATATGTATATGTACGTACGTACGTACGTACGTACGTACGTATGTATGTATGTGATATGTATATATATACACTAAATAAAGATAAATATGTGTGTGTGATATGTAAATATATATATATACATATTATGCATATAATAGATGCATCTATATATATATACATACGTATATATATATGTGTGTGTGTGTACCGTCTGAATAGACGTAAAACTTCGATCGCGATTCATCTGTATATTATATATTATATTATATATGTTTAAAGCAGGGGATCACCGGGGTCCCGGGGGGGTCGGTGATCAACGAAGACACCTGCCCGGGACCCGTGCAAACGTACCTGCTGGGCTGTGGTGGTGCACCTGGGCGCATTTAAGTCGCAGCTGGTGGCCACCATAGCCCATAGATATATATATATATATAATCTAATTGCATGTGATGGGATTCAGTTCCCGACGGATCACTTCAATGATCCATTTCTTGTCGAGTGTGATTTCCATGGTGGCTCCGACATGGTGCCATGGACCCAACTGAGGGAACCCTGTTTAGGGTGAATGTGGACTGACCGGATTTCTGAATTTAAGTAAAATGTAACAGTCGGCCTTACCGTTCACCACCATTTTGTGCGACGTCCCGCTGCCCCGACCGTCCTCTGCGACCTTCGGAACTTGCCCTTTGCTCAAGTGAAGCTGTTCCGAACAGCCACAAACTCTCTTTTCAGCAGTATCTTGCATCATAGCATGACATTGGGCATTGAAGGCAACAGGCATGTCCTTTTCCTGCAGGTGTGGTCTCTTTGGTATCTGGTGAGGTCAAACATATCGTGCACCTAATTCGTTTGAACTTGAACAGCCGTTTATGCCCATGTGGCTTGATCGACCACGGTCCCGTTTGAGAGCAACGCACGATTACTTGGGACCGAACTGAATCCCATTTTTAATTGTTGTTGTTTTTTCAATCCTTTTCGCCAACTAGTTCCCCATTTGGTCCCCTATTTCATGCGTTTTTCCCTCCCCAGGTAGGTCGGGTCCATTCGGGTCCTGTGCGTGCCGAGGTAGGCGTAGGTTTCGCTGTGTTAGGTTGGTTCAAGCGCTTCCGTCTTCCCCCCCCTCCGCTGGTCTTGCTCTGTGTCCGTCCGTCTCCGCTTTTCCTCCCCCTTGCCCTTTCAGGGTTTGCCCGCTCCGGGCCAGGTGTGTTGGTGTTGGTGTTTGCTCCTCCCCTCTTGTTTTGCGTTTCCCTCCTCGGGTCCCGGTTGAGTAATCCTTCATCTCATTTTCACTTTCATTTCATGTTCATTCCCCTTTTCATCCTCATCTTCACCTCATTTGCCTGGACACCACCCTGCCAAAGGCAGGGTGTGTGTGTGTGTACTGTCTGAATAGACGTAAAACTTCGATCGCGATTCATCTGTATATTATATATTATATTATATATGTTTAAAGCAGGGGATCACCGGGGTCCCGGGGGGGTCGGTGATCAACGAAGACACCTGCCCGGGACCCGTGCAAACGTACCTGCTGGGCTGTGGTCGTGCACCTGGGCGCATTTAAGTCGCAGCTGGTGGCCACCATAGCCCATAGATATATATATATATATATATAATCTAATTGCATGTGATGGGATTCAGTTCCCGACGGATCACTTCAATGATCCATTTCTTGTCTAGTGTGTGTGTGTGTGTGTGAATTGGTCCAAATCCCCATCTGACTCCTCATCTTCCACACTGCCCATCCGCCCGTCACTACCGAGCCGCGCAGAAGCCCGGCCAGCACAAAGTTGGCGAAGCGCGGGAATTGTACCGAGCTATTGGCCTCTGCCTGGCCCCACATTTACCAGCTAGAAGTCAGTTTTATAACCATAAATGGTAAATGGTTGTGGTAAAATATAAGTATATAATAAATATTCATAAATGGTTTTGTGATTCCATAAATGGTAAGTCGTTCTGTTAACAGTTATGGAATCATGGGCCCCCGTGTCTAACCATTTATAACAATTTACAACTGATAAAGGGCTTTAACTGGGGCTTGAGAAGGGCTGTAGCATCTATGTTTAGTGCCTGATTTATCTATCATTTGGATAAAATAACATATGGCTATGAGTCAAAACCCTGGTACCTAGTGAACCCCAAAATAGCTGGTAAATGGATGTTCATCCCATTAAAAATGTATCTATAGGTATTGACCCATACCCATATCGATGATAGAAAAAACATATCTATTTTGGGACATGACTCGGGAGTTTCCATGATTTCCATTGATGCGTGGGATGCCAAATTCATCAGCACCAGGTCAAATCAAGGTGAGTCAACTTCGCCAATTCATTCAACTTCGCCCCCTTCATTTTCGCCCCTTTTTTTTGGGCTATCAAGATGCGAAACCATGGGTTTTTTCTATGGTGTTATCATAAGATGCTTGGGATTTCCAGGCTCAACTTCTGAGGATCCCGGGGTTCAGCTACAGCTTCAGCAACGATCATTGCGACGCCTAAATAGTAAGAATGTTTACAGAGCGAAGTCATCATAGCTAAATTTATGCTAGCTGGGATTATCATCTAAATTCCCAGAGCTCTTGGCTTCAACCATCCACCCGCCAAAAATCCCTTGAAAACCATGGTGTTGTACGCAACCATCACCTGAACTCACCTGAAAACTCGCGAAAAAACCACCTGAACTTCCACGGCCCCGCTGCCCCGCTGCCGCACGCCTCCTTACTGGTCCGCGTCAAGCGCCACAGCAGTGGCCGATGCGCTGGCGTGAGCCCCCAGGCAGCAAACATCAACAGATCCAGCAGGTTGAACAGCAGCGTGAGGCAAAACACCGGACCTTGGCAAAGAAACCAGCAGGATATGAGTGGATTGTAGATGATCGGATATATGTGGACGCAAAATGATCAGATTTAATACCCAACTAGGGTTCACATATATACATATATATATATATAAGATGTATGTGAATATGTGTGCATGTGCGTACGTGTATATATATATAATATGTGTGTGTGTGTATGTATAATATATATAGAGAGAGAGCTGCATGGGATCTCGAAAAACTGCTGAGTTCAGTGACACCGTTGTCAATCACAGTGTGAATGTGAATGCATTAAAAGAATGTGAGGGGAATATCAATTTGAAGTGGACCTATCTGGCCCCCAAAAACTGTTCATTGGGCCCCGTTTGTCCACTTGTGGGCAGGGTTTATGAGGGATTGACCCTCTGGTTATTTAACAGTTCGCCATGGTATAGATGGCCCATAGAAATAGATGATTGTCCCATTAAAACCTCCATTTATAAGGGATTTTCCATGGCAATGTTAAACAAGCAAATGGTAACTATAGAATTCATGGGCTTTACCAACGTCTCACGACTGGCTTCACCTTGTACATCGCTTGCGCCAAGCGGCTGATTAACTCAATCCACAGGCAATGCACTGCGGCTTTGATCGCCAAGGAACTGAAGATTTGCCTCGCGGAGCACCAAGAAACATGGAAAGCCATGGTGGTAAATGACACTGGTGGAGAAATGAGGTGTCCATGATGGTATAATAACAAATATGATGAATGGGATATGTATATAAATACACGCACGCATATATATATAAATATATATATATATACCATCTGGTTATGACTAACAGTTCGCCATGGAAAGATCCACCATGCTATTAATAGGTAAACCATCTATTTCGATTAGGGCCATTTCCCATGGTGTACCCCTTCAAACTGCCATGATGGAAAAATGGTGAATCTGATACAAGCTGAGGGCCCCGGAAAACGGCTAAGTTGACTCAGTGAAAACTTGGTTAACTATGGTTTATGGGGGATATAACATGATATAACTGTAGAGTTTTCATGGGCTTGTAAACCAACTTCGAAAACGCCTCACCTTGCATATAGTTATGCAAATGCGTATAGAATCAAATTCCTATGGCACTGAGGTTACAAGTCTAGCTGTCCCCACCTGTTGCACTACGATCTTTTTTGGATCGTTTCCATTTGGGCGGCCACGTTTGGGCCGTTTCCACCTGTGAACACTTCTGGCTGAAGCCAAGGCCATGAAAATGTCGATGTCCAAGATGTTGGGCAACAGCAGGACTAAGGTTTCCTCATTGCTTGGTGTCGCTTCACTGGCCTATTTTTTAGGCTAAATTTCAGGGAATTTCCCCACAAAATATGGCCTGAAAAATGGTACAGTACCTCCATTTTAGGATCCTGAAATTCCCAGTGATCGCGGACGGTGTCACCGAAGATTCGTGTTTGGAAAAACGTGGGGGTAGCCTCTGGTAACGTGGCTAGCTTGGAAATCCTCTATGAATGGAGTGTTAATGGGAAAATCTATCTACAAATGGTGGGCCTCCCCCCAAAAAAAGGCTCTAAATCTAAAATGATCAAGGTGTCCCAGTTTTAGAAGCACCGGCAACTGGTCATAATATAATTCGATGTCAACTAAGTCGACCAAAATGTGGGGATGAAACAAGTGCAAGCCACAAAAATGGAGGGTTGAACTAGTTCAGCCAAGCAAAAATTACCCCAATCATCCTATAGGGGGAGTCAAGCAAGTCGACTAAAGAAATTGGAAGATTTTGAGTACAACAGAATTTCACATCATAAAACCTGTGCCCTTTGGAGAAGCTGATGGTTTACTAATATCAGGATTGGAGTAGCCCTGCCATGCCCTGCCATGCCCTGCCATGCCCTGCCATGCCCTGCCATGCCCTGCCGATTCCTGGCAAAATACTGGTGAACCATGATGAACCAAGAAAATGGGCTTCTAAATCTTGCAGATCTACATTCAGAATATCAAACTGACATATATTATTCCAGCACATTCTGGGATCCTTGCGAACTGGTAAGCCACCACGGAAAACGAATGGCTGATACCCAAAAAAAATGCAACGAATGCTGGTGGCCAAGACAAACAGTCCATGCTTTTCGTAATTCTTCCACATGGAAAGTTGGGCTTCAGGAATGGCAACTTGTCATGGGTTGTTGGGGTTACTCCGCAAAAATAACTCTCAAACTTGGTTTCGTAAATGTTTATCTACCCCCCTGGTCAACTAACATAACTATGGAACTCTGGGGCAAATGGGTAAAAAAAAACATAAAGTTCATAGTTAAATCCATGAAAATCATGGTTAACAAATGTACAATTCTCGCATAATGCAACGGGGAAAAGAAAAACACCAAAAATCACAGGCCGCCGATGGTGATTTTCTAATGTGGCTGGAGGGGGCAGATCAATAACTATGGAAAATCACCATGCTATCAACAGGTAAATCAACTATTTCTATGGCAATTTTCCATAGCAAAGTGTTAGTTCACCAGAAGGTGCCCTTTGGTAAATTAACATAGACCCTGCCAGATAGGGGTTGGAAGACTAGTTTCCACTATAAATTCGTCATTTTCAGGGTCTATGTTAATTTACCAGAAGGTAACCAATGCGACGGAAATTGAAGTCCTCCAGTCGGTCGCTACTCCCATCCAGTACCCTCTTAGGGCCAAAAAACCACATCGAAGACCTTCGAACTCCGCGCTTGGTGCTCTTGTGGCACCTTCAAACCGGGCCCAAAAAAATGTCAACATCCGGACATATCCGGACAAAATCAGAGGCTGGAGGTTTGTTGCCAAAAAAAATGATGATTTGGAAGCGGAAAATCACATGGAAATGAAATCCTCGAAAAAAGAGGGAGCGGTGGAAAAATGTGTATTTTTGAAGGATCCTGTATAGAATGCATAGAATGTATGTTCGATGCCCTACATCGCTTTCCCTACTAGTAGACCCTAATCACAGTGGGCCCCTGCTAGCCCAGGGCCCACTGACGAGCAATAGTTATATTCCAATGCCAACAGCATTAACAAATCTGGGTGAGTCCCTTTCACCATTGACTAGGGAGTTTTATGCCTTGAAAATTCCTGGAGGTAGCAATGGTTCCGAAATAGAGTGCAAAGACACGAATCACGGTCATTACTCTCCGGAAGGTGGCATTCACCACTGGGCTCACAGGCCATTGAAGCATCACCAATTAAGAAAATTATCAGCAGACCTGAAAGGTGGCCCTATTTTGAGGCGGCTTTAAAATTCTAGTTGCCCCTCCTTGGCTATCATTTTGATTGGCTCAACCTTTGGGACCGCAAGCTGCAAGCAAAAAAAAGGTCACCCTTTGGGGATTGAACCCTCAACTATTTTGGGCTCAATCCTTGAGTCATGCCGCAATTCCCACGTCTCCATCAACTATTGCTTGTAGCCTAAATTGTGTGGGTCACATCATATGGTAATCTAATCTGGCACTGACAAATCCCGATTTATTTGGTGTTGTAACAGTATATGGTGTTGTTTTACGTGAAGCCCCTGTTGTGCGTGCCATGGTCAACACATGTCAAAACCTGGTGACCTGGGGATTCCTTTTGATGCTATATTGACCCCTACTAATTGGTGCCCATCCCCTTTTCTGAAAAAAATAATGCAATATCCTCATATGGTTGGTTTAAAAAAAAACATTTGCATCCCATGATAGTTGGTTGATACGTCCATTGTTTCTGAAATCCCATAGTTTTGACCGTGGCGTTGCTCCTCCTCCCGCCTTCAGAAGCTTGCTATGCCACGCGGGCGCGTGTCCCAGTGTGGCATCGTATTTCCATTCGGGCCAACGGACTTTGTCCTGCCGGGCGTGGATCAAAGAGACTACGTAAGGTCTATGTAAGGGCTATGTAAGGGGATAGAACCCCCAAAATATGGCTTTATATGGCACAGTACCTGAATTTTAGGATCCTGGAATTCCCATTGCCAAAAATGAATCCCCCAACTTTGGTAAGATCTGGCGGAACATGGATCTTAACATACCACCAAAACACGTTTGTCCCACAACAAAATATGGCATTTCCGGAGCTCGGATCCAGATCTCCTGTCGGGGACCCAAGCGCGTAATGCGCTGATCTGGCTGGTAGGTGCATTGCCTGACCGCAGAACCAAACAAAGCCCCTGTCTGGCCCCTTGTTTTTGGTGCGGTTTGAAGAAAGACTGCTGGAAATGGCTGGAAAGCCTCAATTCGATCCTTCAGAATTTCAAGTGTTAACTCTCCAGCCACTCAAAATCAGAACTTCCCATCACTTCCCATCACTTCCCATCACTTCCCATCACTTCCCATCACTTCCCATCACTTCCCATCACTTCCCATCACTTCCCATCACTTCCCATCACTTCCCATCACTTCCCATCACTTCCCATGTTGTTAAAATGGTGCCAAGTGGCAGGGTCCGACCCCACAAGATGGCTCGGGAGCTCAGGGAGTGGTGTCCTGGACTTTCCTGAATCGGCTTCGCCTCAAGGTTGGCCACATGATTTTTCCAATTTATTGGCTGCTCACGATTCGCAAGTGCTAACAATGGAGATCATGGAGTTTGAAATGTTTGAATTGGCCCCTTGGCGACTCCCTCTTATTTGCTTCTCACCACAGCCGCAGACATTCTGATGTGTTTCACCACTAAGCTTTGCGACAGAAAACCCATTCTTGTGGGCTCAACATGTCCACTGTTTTTGCCCGATGTACTACCCGATAATCCAACATTGCAATTGGAAATCCTTGTATATACCCTCAGGTAAACATACAAAAAACTATGGGAAAATCACCATTTTTCATGGGAAAATCCACTACAAATGGGCCATGGTCTCAATAGCCAACTGTTCGTAACAGTCGTCATTCCCGGTCATTCCACCCCCGATCTGAGGGCCGTGCCAGCAACAATCCCAACATCCCGGCAGCTGCCTCCGGAGCCATCCTGAAATGTTGCCAGGCAGCGACAGGACATGACAGGATTCCAATCCACAGCTGTGATTCATGTGATGAAATGATGATGAAAACATGTCGATGATAAATCATGATGAATTTCGATGAAAGAATTAATGATCTTGAAATCATGTGGGATAGTGTGGCATAGGATGAAATGTGATGAAAACATATGTATAAAAAGGTGATGATGATATATATATATATACATATATGCACAGTATACTGATGTATGTGAACACATAGCATGCGCAGTGTTAGTATGTAAATATTCGATGAATCCTGACCGTATAGAACGTATACAGATGTATAATTAGATTTAGATCCACCTGAAATGCTGGGGAAGAAGCCGCTGAACATCTGCAAGTTACAGCAAACCAACGCACTGGTCTCACGGAGTGACCAACCCTAAGTCCCACTGGATGTCTTCTGAGTTTCTGCTGTTCAATTTAGATTCTCTAAGGCATTCATCAAAGATTTACAGGTTCCTAGAGATGGGCTGAAAATATGGGGGGGAGGTCCTGAGGGGGAGGTCCTAAAATGGGGGTACCCCAAAACCATGGGTTTCCATATTAAAATGGTCATCCATGACTTGGATGATTTGGTGATACCCCCCACAGATAGGAAACCTCCTGTTGAAACCCAGGCTGCGAGGGATCCCCTTTTGCCACATCGAGACCGGTCCCGGTGCCGAGATGCTGCAAGAGGCTTGCCATACCTGAGCAGCGCACAGTTCTTCACAGTTCACCCTCTGTCATAGGACGTAGGCAACAAGTAGATTTGGGGGTATCCAAATCTATCCCGCAAAACAAAATCCCTTCCCCCATTCATACAGTATCTAAAAACAGCAACGAAATCATGATGAGTAGGGGGATTTACACTTCTTTGGGTTTTTTTTTCAATGGGGCTGCTCAACATGAACGGATGGGATGGGATTATGCAAAATCACCAAATCACACGGATTCACCATGAAACAATTTCTCGTCCAAAAAAAACATCCAGTGGTGAAAGCCCACTATTGAAATTGTTTATTTATATTACTCTTCCATTACTCAATCCATTCATTCTTCATTGATTGTTGAAACACAACTTCACCCCGTGGATCTTAAAACATGTGCATTTAAATTCCACCATTCATCTTAAAACACATGATTATCCATATCTGAACCTAAGATCAAACACTTTCTGGCACGAAAATACCCATCTGTCATGACCCAAAACCCTCATGACCCATCTAAATCCACCATGGGATTTTCCACCAAAAACCGCTCCGACCGTTGCCGACCGTTGCCGACCGTTGCCCGGGCGCAATCCACGGCGTTCTCGTGCTGCGCGTCCTTGATGACCTTGTGCTTTGCCGAGGCCGCCGGCAAGGTGGCGATGCGGTCCGCGAAGTCCTGAAAGGCCAGGTGTGTCTTATGGAAAAACCATGGAAAAACCATGGAAAATCATGGAAAAACCATGGGGATTTGGAAAAACCCATGGAAAATGCTGACGTTTGCACGTTTTATAGTGGTTTTAGAGTGGTTTTTATTGGTTTGATGTAGGGAGAATGGAGTACTGAGTACTTTCTAGGATTTGAATGGGATACACATGGGGACATCTTGAGACATTTGGAGATTTAACCATTATCATGGGATGGGAATATAATGGGACATTTGGAGGAAATATATATATATATATATATTTATAGCCAACCTTAATACAATTTTTGGGTGCCCAAAATACCAATTTTCATAGGATTGATGGGTGCCCAATGTTCGGTCAATCCCACGTGTTGGTGCCTGGGATCAATGAAGAAAACGCGGGATGCCACCAACCTCAACCCCCTGAAGAGTCATCGTTCGAAACCTAGGTTTAGGACGTTTCCAAGACTGGTTCCAATACAGTTTTTAGGGAAGGATCAAGCAACAATTTGATGAAAACTCCTCGGAGAATGGGACAAAATTCCTTCCTACCAGACCATGAAATAACAATCGAATAACCATCACCATCCACGAGGTAAGAAGCGAACCATCCAGATAGACATATATAATCAGCTCGAGAATCAATCATAAATTCCAAGCCTCACCATCCTAAGTCCGTGCTTGATGTTTACCCCAATATCAATTAACCATCATGTGATCCCATAAGGCTTTAAATATGGGTCTGTCAGCATTCATGAGATATACGCTCTCAAATCTAGCATGGAACCCCAAGCATAACAACTCCCAAAAAGAAGATCATAACCCCGAACATTTTCGGGGATCCTAGCGTTCAGGGGCTGTAGCATCAACCATCCAGTCAGGGCATATCAGGACGGCTGCCTCTACAACCTTGACAAGCACGAGACTCAGAAAGGGGCATCCCCGTATCTTCCTTTGTGTTTTTTTTGGCTGATGCGGTATGTGAGTATATTAGCATCTACAGCTACATGTGGTTGAAACATGTTGAAATGGAATGACAGCGGGGCCAATCCAAACATATATATATTCTCCTGGAAGCATACGAAAAAAGTCATTGCGGAAAGCCGGTTTTTCGATCGGTTTTCGACCGCTCTTTTCATTTACCCCGGAGGAAAGAAAAAATGTCCGGCCACCCCCATTTTTGTGTAGTCCTGCGCAGCCTTGCCACTGTGGCTGGACATCAAAGCGAGGTCCTGATGTGGGTCCATCCCGACCAAATGGGAAACTCTTGGGGCCTCCACCCCCCATTTTTGGGGGGGAGGAAAATGGATACAAACATACTATGGATGGAAAAGCCATCCTGCACCAGTTGATGACTATTGGTAACATGGTTCAACACTGGGATCATAATTGGCATTTCTTCCATTTACCATGTTCATGATTTGGAGGTTTTCCAAAATGGTGGGGTACCCCAAAATCATCCAAAATTGGTTGTCATCAGTTGGGAAAATCAATGGTTTGGGGTACCCATATTTTGGGAAACCTCCATTTCTTAACCATCCATTATGCCACACCTTCCGGCACGCCTCAAAAAAGGAGCAGTTCAGAAGGCTCTTCCCGCCATCCAATGCCTCGAGGGATTCATATCGATATTCATATCGATGCTGCATTCGTATTTGTACTATAGTGTTATCTATGACTATGATATGTATTTATTTGCTTATCTATGTGTTTATTCATGTTGTATATAGTAACGGACAAATACTTAGAACATCATGTTTCCATTTTTTCAACCCCTTACTTAGAACATAAAAGGACACTATACTTAGACCATGGGAAAATGTTCCAAGGGCGAACTTAGAACATCCAGAGGACACATACTTAGAACATCTCCATTGATTTTTGCATGCTTGGAACATAAAAACAAACCATATACTTAGAACAAAGGGTTCATGCGCATGTCCCCAAAAAGAGATTGGATGCAGTTTTGGCTGGGAAAACATATCTATATTATATAGTATGATGTATCAACATAAAACTGATGCTGGAGATTGCCCCTAGCCTATTAGTTTATATATAGCGTACAGTATCTCTGCCGGACAAACACTTCGAACACACACACACACACACATATATATATATATATGGTTCCCATTGGTTCCCCCTGGAATGTTCTAAGAGTATATATATATATGTGTGTGTTGGATATGTTCCAAGTATGTTCTAAGCGATACTTAGAACATCCCCACTGTGAAGGTATTTTCCCAAATGATGTTCGAAATATTTGTCCGGCACTATAATTATCTATCTAGATATTCGCATATATTTAGTTATATGATTATATGCATATGAATTTCCATGTGCAAAAATATCAATCATTGGCGATCATCTCACCAACCACAAACTCCGGCGAATCATTGGCACCATTCCGCAAAAATCCCTGCCTGATAGGAAGGCGCCAAAAGGTACAGAAGGTGCTTGGGGAACAAACTGCCAGGCTTTACTGCCATCTCTAAGGGGATTTTGCCTGCGCAAAGTGCAGGATGTGCAGGCAAATGACTCAGATGGACTCGCCATTTCTGGTTGGGCTATAATTTGGTGAATTCTATCTATCTATCTATTTATCTATCTAACTAACTAACTAACCTATCTGTCTGTCTGCCTGCCTGCCTGTCTGTCTGGCTCTAATGCATACGTATATATATATATGTATATATATATATGTGTGTATATATATATATATGTGTGTATATATATATATATATGTGTGACATACCATATGTGTACCTATATATATAATTTGAGCCCACATCAACATCAAACATCATCCCATCCTGCTAATCTGGGACCATGCAATAAATTTTTAAATTTCGATCCACCACCAAACCATGTTTTTTTGGGGGCGTTTTCATCGTGAGGGGGTAGGCATTGGTCGAATTCACAACAAACTACTCACCAAGCAATGAACCAAACCCAATCGAAATAGACGCCACGAAGCAGGTGCTATATGTCACATATGTTGCCCTGAAAGTCACGTGACTCATTTTATCCACCACATTAGTCATACTGTCATACTAGTGATAATCCACAATGAACCCAGTGGTAATCCATGAACCATTCTGATTCTGCAGGTTTGTTGGTTACATCCCGAATTTTGGTGAGTACAACCATGTTTAACCCCAAGTTTTCATGGTTCAACCCCAGTTTCGAAGTGTGGGTCCCGCATGCTGCTACCCAGCCGATGACTTCCATCGCGCCTTCCTCGGTATTCTGCTCGACCGAGGCGCCTGAACGAATGAGACATCGAACCACTTCCTGGCGGTGACATGGGGCGGACAATGGGCCCTGTTTGAGTTTTTAAATTCCGTTTGAAAAAGAAATGCTCTTTGACAAACCCGTTGACTCTGAAATTGGTTGCGGGATGTTGCGGGTGTCAAGTTTTAAGTCAATTTGTGGACCCCATTGGGGCACCCTTTGCGAGCCACTTCTCAACTGGCACCCAAGTTTTCACCTCCCAATGGTTTCAACATGTTTCAACAGGGACCGATGAACCACCGTCACCCGAAAACAGGCAGCTATCATAGTCCCATTGCCAGGCGATAGATTCTTGAGGTCTAACGGTCTAACGTTAGTCATGGTTGATTCAACCTGCCTTTTTGCTGACTGAAAGTCTATTTCTAGCATTTCTATTTCTGAATCCGTCATTATCCTCGCCTCAACATCCTGATCCTCGTCCATGCTGCGCAACGCCAACCAATGTAGGGCGGAAAAACCTTCCATATTCTTCACCTCACAGGCGCAGGACATCCCTGGGTCTCGATGCTGACCTTTTTGGCCAAAAAAAAGAGGTCAACCCCGGATGGATAAAACCTGACTCTGAATTGGGGATACTAAAATTGCTATGGTCCCCCTTTAGGTGAGACAGTTGGGAGAAGGGTTTTTTTGGTGGTGAATCTCCATGGCGCTTCGGCAAACATCGGAACAGAAGTTGGATCAAATCAACCAAAGGTCCAAAAACGAAAAACGGAGAATTTGACTACTTGACTCCAAAAAAAAAAAGGAAGTCCGACCAACTCCACTAGATATGTTAAGATTGTATCCATGTTTTTGGCAAAATGTTTTCCTACAAGTAGCGGAACTGCTGATTTTTCCTGCCCGTGCCTGGTCCCCAAAACAACCATCCTTGGTGATAGAAGAATTGTTTGGAATAAACAATTTATTCTCCAAAATTCTATGCATACATCATTTGGGGGGCCTTTTAAGCTGCCAAAAAAGATGCGTTGGTTCTACCATCACGGGATCGGAATCTAAGCCCCGAACAGAAGGATCCGCATGCTGCTCCAAGAGCCAAACCGCCGCCTGGAAGAATCCCAGGCAACCCAGACAGAAAAGTAAAATCATGTAAAATCTCGTCCTGAAATAGTGGTAAATGATGTTTCCATCTTTTCACCCACAAGCCGTTCGAGTTCATTCGCTGTTTCCTCCACAGCACACCGAATCTCCACATGTGGTCCCAAGTTGTCATCCGAGTCAAATCTTGATTCTGAATGGCGAAAGCAACGGGGAAAAAGCGGAAAAGGATGGAAAAGGGATCTTCCAAATTTACCCTCTGGTAATTTAACATAGCTATTGAAAATCACCATTTTTCATGGGAAAATCCACTATTAATGGTCATTTTCAATAGCCACGTTAAATTACCAGAGGGTAATAGAAACACCGAACCCCATTGGGAACCCCAATGGTGACCACGTGCACGCCTTCGCCTTGCCATTGAAAACTGCATCGTGCAAGGCGCAGTAAAACTCACGCTCACCGCAGAAACCTCACAGCTGCGCCACTCGAAATACCTCCGTAGCCATTCTGAGGTACGCTATATGATATAGACACCGTCTTTGCATTGACATGACATTACAGTACTGACATTACATTACATAAAATACATATGGTTGTGTCAAAAAGATGGGATATATATATATACATACATATTATACACACACACACCTATTCTTTCGCTGGTTTCTCATCATTGTCACATATTGTCACCATTAAAAGTGGATATAATGTTAGAAATTCGGAGTAAACCATCCCCCAAACTTACCCTCAAAAATGGATGGTATAAACCATCAAAATATCGGTGTTTGACACCGAACCCCATCGTAGTGAATCCTGACCCAATCAGACCCCAATCTCCATCGAGCAACAGAAGCGGTTGATCTCTTCCTGAGGATGTCCATCCACATGGGACGTTCGATTGACCCTAGAAATGTTGTGACTGGCAATTTTGGGGGGAAACGCTTATATTTTCATTAGTGCATGCGCATCGTCATGTGTTCCGCTGGTCATTTTTTCCAACTATGGTTTCACACTTTCCCGGGATCCATTTCCAAAAGAGAACACAAAGGAACCAATTCCAAACGTGATCAAAAGATGGTGCAAATGGATTTGGGTCTGTCCAAAATGTTGGGGAAATCATCATTTTAAAAAAATGTCATGTACGGGGCGGTTAAACCCTACTGACACATCCATCTCAAGTCATCTGCCCACTGGAAAACCGTTTCCCATCATCTTTCCATCCGACATGGCATCAAAATCTAGGAAATCCAGGATATCCTCAATCTCGGCGCCGGAAAAACCCGCTGGTTTGGTTTTCCCACCCGGCTTTTTGGTCTTTCAACCTCCAGTGATTCCAAGTTTCCAATGAGTTTCCAGTGTGATCCAGGATCATCCCCATCGCTGGGATGCAACCTACACAGCGCAGCAGCCGGGAGATCCCGTCAGCGAATACACTCTATATACATATATATGTGCACATATCATATCATATAATATATATTGTGAATTCTCTAATCCACAATCACCTTCCATCCGGGGTCAAACAGCCGTGAGTCTTGTCCAATTTTGACCATGTCTGCCAAGGGGAAATCAGACATCAACCGATGTCTTTCGTGGGCCGTTCCCGCTCAAAAGCCCATGAGGGGGTTTTGGTGCACGCAGAGTGCCAGGTAGAAAACATACGCTTGGGGCGAGCGTTGGGAGCCATAGGTGTGGCATTTGGTATAACTTCAGGTGGTCCTTCTAGATCGATTGGTGGTTCATTGGCGTGGACATTCATTCCTTCCAACTGTTACAGATCCCCACCATTGTTGGACGCCCAATCCACATTGGTAGCGGAGCTGTGTGCTCCTCAGGTGCTCCCTGGAATCTGAAACAATCCGGTGGTTGACAGTTTCTGGAAAGCAAACCTTGGGAAAATCAATTTTCTTGTGTTTTCGGTGCCACGTCACTTTGACTGCACCCTGACTGGTGAAAAGCCCTGGAAAGGAGTTGATCCAGTGGAAGTTTTTTTCTGTACATCCTGCGGTGCCCAACATGGCTGAAGGTGAGGGTCAAGGTGTTTCGTCACAGTCCTCGACCGGACATGGCACAGCATCACACCTTCCATGGCACCTCATACCATCTTTTGAACCTGGTGAAACAGATTTGACCGAGTACACGAGACGGCTTGAGTTTCTTGCAGGAATTTGGCCTGTAGAACATCTGAACCAATTGGCACCCAGAGCCGCACTGCAATGCAAGGGTTCTGCCTTCCATAAGGTTGTCAGAGTTCAACCTGATAAGCTCAAGGTCAACGATCTCTCTGGTGTTCAGTTGCTGGTATCTACACTTGGGGGTGTTTGGGGCAAAACAACCCTCGAAGATAAGTATGAGAAGTTTGAACGGGCCATCTACGGCCTTAGCCAACGTTCGGATGAGAGCAACGAGAGCTACATGGCCAGGCATGAGATTGTTTTTGAAGATCTGATTTCACAAGGTGCAAGTCTCTCGGACGTTCGTGCCTACATCTTACTCAGGAACAGTGCACTTTCTGCTGAGGACAAGAAACGCGTTGTGATCGAGGCCAAAGGCAATCTCAAATATGAGTCAGTCACTCAGGCTATCCGGATGCTTGGTGCAAAATTCTTTCTGGAAGTGCAAGGACAAACAAAGTCCTACCGTGGCAAGACCTATGCCTATGAGGTCAATCATGTGCAAGAAATGGAAGAGGAAACCCTGTCCTATGATGATTCCAGCTTTGCATTTTCCGTGGATGCCTCTGATATTCCAGATTCAGTGCTGGAATTACTGCTAGCCGAAGGGGATGAGGATGCATTGGTTGCCCACCAATTTGAAGAGGCACTGATTGACACGATGCAAAGTGATCCTGAGATGACAGCACTCATGGGAACATACCTTGATGCCCGCAGAAAGCTCACCGAGAAGTCCAAGAACCGAGGTTTCTGGCCTATCCGCTCCAAGGGTGTTGGAAAGAAAGGAAAGTTCAAGATGTCCTCCTTTCGATCCCGTAAGCCTCTTGCTGTCCGGATTGCAGAAAGTGAATGTCGAAACTGCGGACAAAAAGGGCATTGGAAAGCCGAATGCCCAAAGAGGCTTCCTAGTCAGTCTGCAGCCGGAATGCCAAAGTCCCAGCCAACCAATATGCTGATCTCTGCCAGTGGTGTCGATGACGAGGATGAGGATGTCTTTTTGATGGAGCCGACCGGATCTGTCTTGTCTGATGTCGTTGTCGTAAGCCAGGACCCCGGGGTGATCAAAAGGGTTTCACACTCCCAAAACTGTTTTGTTAGTTGGTCTCATAAGGGTAATCCTTCCTATAAGGGGCAATACTATAAGCAAGTCTGTCAGAGGCTGGAAGAACTGTTCAAGGGTTCTGCCAAAGCACATCCATCCAGGATGACGCCAAGTGAACCACTGAAGCCGTGCAAAACCCCCTCTGAGAAAGTAGATGTCCGTGGTTGCCAGAGCCGAAGTGCTTTGCCTAGATCGGATCATGCTGAGTCGTTGCCAAAGCCTGATGTGAGACCCAAGACTGTGACCGACAGTCTGTTTGAGCAGCCGTGTGAAACCATGTTTGCCACTGCCAAAATCTTAGGTATCCTGGATCTAGGTGCTTCACAAACAGTGATGGGCCGACATCAGCTTGCTGAATTCATGCGTGGCCTGCCTGAATCTGTCCGCAGCAAAGTTTTCGAGCAGCCAGTGGAGATGTCATTTCGTTTTGGAAACAACAGTGTGGTCCCTTGCAATAGAGCCATCTTTGTTCCCATTGATAAGTTCTGGATCAAAATTGCTATTGTTGAGTCTCGCACCCCATTCCTAATTTCCAACAATGTGTGCCGAAATTTAGGAGCAGTTATCGACACCAACACTCAAAGCATTCGATTTCAGAGACTGGACTGCGAATTGCCACTACAGCTGTCGGGAAGAAAGCTCTTACTGTTGGACTTTTGTGACCTTGCTTGCTGCACAGAGACCGCCTCAGTCGCCGACGATGCCTGAAAAGTCAGCGGACGCTGAAGATCGCATTTTTTCCTGTCTGGAAGACCAAGAGCCACAGAAGCTAAGTAGTCAGCCGGAACCTGCCAGTGAATCTCATGAGTTGCGTAACCTTGAAGAACCCAAGCCGATCCCTAAACATGAGACATGTTCCACGGTCAGCAGTTTGGCCAGTGTTCCCCAGTCTTGCCCTGTTCGTGTCCAGCCCACAGCCGAAGAATCTCATGGCGAATCGCTCCCTAGCCGATCGATTCCAGATGATCCAGACGACTCAGACAAAGCATGCTCAAGAAGATCGTCTGATGTCAATGAGCTTTGAGGAAGTGGGCCAGCTCACCATCCGTTTCGGAGAGAGCAAGGTGGGCCAACAGTTCAGCGAGGTTGTCAAGGAGGATCAGAAGTACTGTCAGTGGTTTATCCGCAAATTTGCGGAGTCGAGCAAGCCGGAGCATCGCGAGTTCCTGCACTATATCAACCTCTATGTGGAGAGAAAGGAACTCGAGCTGAATGGGCTAGACCAAGCAGCTCCAAAGGCCAAAGCCAAGCCTCCGACCAAGACCCAGGCTGGCATGGCACATGGGAGCCAATCCAATGGCCCATCGATGATCGACCTGGATCCCGAGGACGAGACTTGGGATCAAATCAGTGCTCAGGGCTTGATCACCGAAAATCGCAACTCGCAGCGTCTGGATGTGATCGAGGACGCCCTCTCGCAGATCATGAATCAGCTCCAAGTACTGACGCAAGTGACTCAGAGCCCCAGCCTTGCGTAGCCGATCATGCCACGACTTTGATGCTGCAGCGATGCTTAGAAGAGATCCAGAATGCCAGTTCCAAGACTGACCCAACTTATCTCCTCAATCATGAACCACAACAGAACTCCTACAGAAATGAAGTTTTTGATGAACTGTTATTATTTGGTAAACATCATGGTTTTCTTGATGCAAATGATAAGATTCTGATGAGCCAGCAGCCATTGATTGATTGTCTGGAAGTGTATTGTTCGGATGAAAGCCAACTCACCCAACAATGCCGTCAACAAGGTCTTCGTGCAATGCGATTCACTCTCAAAGATGGTGATTTAGGGACATGGGAGGGTCGCCAGAAACTGTATCATGTGATTTTCCGCTATCGACCCCGAAATATTTGGGTTTCTCCAAGATGCAAAGCTTGGTGCAAATGGAATCAATTCAATGCCTCGAAGTCCGTTGCCGCAGCACAGAAAGTCATGCTGGCCAGAGAAGGTGACGAAGTACATCTTCAGCTGTGTGAAGCTGCGTTTCTCCATCAACATCGGATGGGCACTGCATTTCATTTTCACTTGGAACAGCCAGTAAGATCAGACATGCTATATGAGACCCCAATGCAATCGATTGTAGAGTGTTTGAAACGCATCCAATGTGATCTCTGCAATGCAGGCAATCTCAGGCATCCAGTCAGCGGAAAACACCTCCAGAAGGGAACACAGATTTTCTCATCATCCATGATCATGTCCCGGTGTTTGGAACAACTCAGATGCCCCCGCAATCATGAACATGACCATGTAGCTGGTAGTTTTGTCAAAACCAATGGTCAACGATGTCTCACATCCGAGTACGCCGAATTGTACACAAAGACTTTCGGTAGACACCTTGCCAAAGCCATGAAAGCCAGCCGTATGACCAATGAAAATGCTCTGGGATGTCCCTTACTCATGTTCCATAGTCATCATGGAGAGAGAAATGGCCCCGATGAGGGTGAATCGGACGTCAAGCGCCGTCGATTGAACGCCAAAACAACCAATCCGGCAGGATATCCAGAAGCCGCTGCGCCAAAAGAATCCTGATGCATGTCCTGAAGGCCAAGTGATGCCTCCAGCAAGTTCCCAAGCCGATTTGCGACAGGAGATTTTGATGAAAGCCTTGAAGATTGCCCCTCGAGTTGGAAAGGTGGTTTTAGAAAGTGGAGAACTGTTTGAGGAATTACAGATGTTGTTCCCTGAGTATCGCATTCGGGTTATCGAATTGTGCAAGGGGACTGATCGTTTTCGAAAACCTCCTGTTCGATTGGTTCCTCAAGAAGCACCATGGAGACTGTCCCTAGGTTTGCACAGACACCAGCTTGAGTCCGTAGATTTGGGCCCATGGATGCAGTGGCAAGGCCTCAGCAACCGACAGCTTTGTTGCAAATCACCGCCATTAAGACTACTCGTCTCTGTGTTTGCCCAAAAGGCCATTCCTAACCCGACAGAAGAGAAAGCACCACATAGTCAGGGGTTTGAAAGTATGAATCCAGACAACACCCAGAATAACCCTACAAGATCACAAGAGATTGTCGAACCAGAAACCCAAAAAGCAAAAGCTGAGCTGAATGAAAATAGTGTAGCTGAGCCAGGTCCCGAAGACAAAGTCCAATGGTTATCACATGGCCCAAAATTCCGAATGCTTTCCAAAGAACAACAAGGTTGGATCTCCAAAATTCATCACAATTTAGGCCATCCAAGTGCTCAGAAACTGCAGAACGTGCTCAGACAACAGGGCTATGCTGATCAAATAATTCAAGGAATCATGGATTTTCGTTGTAATACATGCCATGAAACACAGTCTCCCAAGATTGCCAGACCGGCGACTTTGTCCGATGTGCGTGAGTCCAACGATTGTGTTGGATGTGACCTGATCACATGGACCTCAAAGTCTGGAAAGAATCACCAATTCGTTCATGTTGTAGACAGTGCAACCAACTTCCAACTTGCCATGCCGGTGTTCAGAACTGATGCTGAGAGCCTGTTTGAAGCCTACCAAAGTGTATGGACCCAATGGGCAGGACCCTGCAAGCAGTTGGTCATTGACAATGCGTCAGCATTATGCTCCGAACAATTCTCGCAATTCATGCAAAGCCAAGACACACATCTTCGTGTCGTTGCTGCATATGCTCACTGGCAGATGGGTAAAACGGAACGACATGGTGAAATTATCCAGCAAATGTTGAAGAAATATGATCATGATCAAAGTATTGAAACGGCAGAAGATTTTCAACAAGCTCTCCGTCAATGTTGTCAAGCCAAAAATGCACTGTCAAGAGTAAAGGGATATACCCCAGAAATTTTAGTTCTTGGAAAAAGCCGACCAC